ATGCTGTTGTTCTTTTTCTCCCCAGCAAAAACACATAATGGCGGAACGCAATGTACTTTTGAAGAATGTCAAGCACCCATTCTTGGTTGGCTTGCATTACTCATTCCAGACCGCTGACAAGCTTTACTTTGTCCTGGATTTCGTCAATGGGGGAGAAGTGAGTAGCTTTTTGCCCTTCCGAGCCCGGTGACGAGTCAGTCTGTTTGTGGAAGGGTGCAAAATGTCTTGTGTGGCATTAACACGAAGTGTGGCAGCACTGTTAACGTTTGACGTGATGAATGTCATTCCGAATAGTGGCTGTACAGAAAACCATCTGCAGTGTGATGCTGTTTGTGCATATCTTCTGCGTGCTTAGAAGTGGGTATTGGGCACTGTTCTGGAGTGCCGCGACGAATAAGAAACACAAAGTGGGCTGTTGATGAAGAGCCACAGTAAATATCCGTCTTCTGTGGTTAGGGTTTCGCTGGAACAGTTAACCACAGTTCGCTGAAAATTCTCCAGAAGTCTCTCTCAGTGTTCAGTGCCCGTCATGTAAATTAGCTTCTTCGCTGTCAGGCTTAATTTTGGAAGCCTTCATGGGCCTTTACAATAAGCTTTTTCCATTTCCAAAAACATAGCAGTGTTTCACATTAACACCAGGGGATAGGAAAATGAAAACTGGAATGTGAAGGAAAAGGGCTTAGACTGGAGTCTTTCGGTGCTACAGACGGTGGTGAACGTGTGAGATACTCTCTCAAGATTTAGATTGTTGAACACCCCACCACCTTGTGCTGTGTCAGCACATTTAACAGTCAAAAAACAGTTATTAGTATACTTATAAATGCCAAATCCACTTCCTGGTGGTTACAGTTTTAATCCCAAGTTTGATTCATACATATATGACACAATTTTTGGGAAATCTTTATGGGCTCAGTGTGCCAAGGCCCAGCCTGTCAAAACATCATAAATGGCCTGACGTCGCTGAGGTCTGCAACTTTTTTAAACCAGAAGTGGCTTAAGCATTCCATCTTTACATTCGTGGGTTAGTCAGTGGCAGGTGTTTTTTTTTTATCCCTAATTTGTGGGAAGTGTGTTCTGATCTCATTTGGAATGCATGGCTTTGCTTGTGAGATCTGTAAAATCTTGAAGTCATTCAGTGACTTTTCCCCTGCCTTATTTTTTTTTTGTCGCTCGGCCTGACAGGGTGTAGGGTGTCAGACTTACCCTGGGATGGTCATGCAGATGTGCCACGCGCCAGCAGGGGCAGGTCGGGGGGCTGTAGCGAGGTCGGCATTTCTGCCTCTCAGCGCTCGGGCCCTGGGTTCAATACTGCACCTGGGGTGCTGTCTGCATGGAGCCTGTGCCTGCATGGGCTTCCTGTTGGTGCTCCGGTTTCCTCCCTCAGCCCAAACACGTACTGGTAGTTTAATTGGCTCAGTGGGAAACCTGGCCCTGGGGCGAGTGTAGGTGTGCGTCTGTGTGTACCGTGCGGTGGATTGGCATCCTGCCTTCCGCCCGTTGCTTCCTGGGAGAGGCTCCGGCTGCCACTCCCTTTGTCCCTGAATCTGACAAGTGGTTAGAAATTGGCGGTGGTGAGAAAATGGATGGATGCTTGCTGTAGTAAATTTCCCCATGTTTCTTCGATAAAAGTGTCGGAGGAAAGGGCCTGATTTTCCCGTGAGACCTGGCGACACATTAACTCGTCAGGGGCAGGTTTCCAAAACCGGAAGATGCAAGTTTAATTTCCGGCTTCCTAACCATCGCTGTCTTTGCCTATTCGTTTACTTTGTTTTTCGGAATACTGTACACGGCGTTTCGGTCTTCCGTTGGCCCACAATTTGCCATCATCGTGAGGCTAAACGTGTGCTGTGTTTCTGTGGCTCGCCTTGACTATTTGTCTTAAATTTCATCTCAGCTCTTCTTCCACCTACAAAGAGAGCGGACTTTTCCGGAACCCAGAGCCAGATTTTACATCGCAGAGATGGCAAGTGCTCTCGGCTACCTGCATTCATTAAATATTGTTTACAGGTAACTACTTTTTTTGTATTCAAAGAATACTCTTCTTAAAAAAAAACAGGTTACATCCATTACTGAGGGAGCACAATGAGTGGATTAATGAGTCACCGGAAGGTGTTTTGTTTTCTGGTTCATCTTAAGGCCTCTTTAGCTTTTCAGTTTCCAGTTGGCAAGTGTTCCATAGACTCTGACCGTGTAACCAGAGTTTGAAAGTGTCCACTGAAGAGCAGTGGGCTCCATGATTGACTTTCTTGGAAGCTGTAGATGTTGCCTGTACTCTACACAGGACTGCTGATTTCGCAAAAGAATTTAACGGGGGGGGGGTGGTATTCCTGAGACTAACACACTTCTGGAAAATGGATTTGTTGAGATTAAATGTTTTTTTTAATCGTATTTCCTTTGGCTTAACATTGATGACTTTTAATAGCCTCGCTTGCGGGTATGTTTTGGTGGTAAAAGTAGCATATTGTTTTAACACGACAAAATCTTCAGAAATCCAAAGCAAATTTTTACTGTCTCTTTATTTAGGGAAATATATTGAGAAATTGAAACTTCTAAAGCAGCAGACCCTGACTGTGGTCTTTGCAGGGCACAGTCCAGTAGGTGCTCTAGGTCAGTGGTAGACCTGGCACAGTTTAGGCTGGTTTTCAGTCCAGCTGTTCTGTCCTTGTGCAGAGGTGCAGTTGGCCGCGTTTCAGGCAACATCCCCGAAGGAGGGCAGTTCCTGAAACTCGGAAATGTGTACAGGGTTGAAACCAGTTAAAATCCTACTTTGACCTTTTAAGAGCTGAAAGCAAGTTTGCAAATGTGCCCCAGAGTGAAAACGGAAAACAACGAGTCTGTGCTTCAATTAAGAACGTGGCTGGATCATAAACCATGCAGAGACGGTGTTCCTTCAGGATCAGGGTTAAAAACCATCATTCAGGGTTAATGGAAATCATCATTTAGCAGCGCAACCTGTAGACGAATAGCAGTTGAGACATAAGTGGATCCAACTGGACTCTGATTGTCTTTATTGAAGTTGGGACTTTATTACTATTTTCACATCATTGTTTGTCGAGACTGAAGCCAAGCAAGTGATGATTAAAATGTTCAAGGCAGCGGATTTGTTTGAAGCTCTGTTTCTGGTGATTTGTTTCTTGGCCAGCTCTTTTTAATGAGATTTAGCAAATTCTTCACAAAACTTAATGACTTAAGAATGTGTAGAATTAGGAGAGAGGATGCCATTAAACCTTCATTACTGAAGATTTTCTCATTTTCTAGGGATTTGAAACCCGAAAATATTTTGCTGGATTCCCAAGTGAGTGTAACATCGTTTTGCATTTTTTGTAAACCGTTATTACATTCATATGTTTCATTTTGAACAGATTGTTTAATGGAAGGGATTGTGTTTCAAAATGTCAGAACATCATTACATTCAGTATATGTGACATAATAAATGTAATGTGTTGTATTTACCCTTTATTTTTCATGTCTTAAAATCACAGTATTTCACGAACTCAATTTAGATCGGTTTGATTTTGTTATTCACATAATTATTCCATTGATATTTTAGGAACTGTTTATTTTCGTCTCGTAGACTTAGTCGTTTGGATAAATGAGCCAGATCTCACAGAGGAGAGGAAAACTACCACTACTCCCATGTCGTGTTGTTTTTAGAGCAGGTAACGGCAGCTGATGCAAGTAAAAGTATTTCAGTTGTGGCCTGCAAAGCAATGTAAGAAAAAAAAAAGAATTGTGCAAATGCAGGGAGTCTGCCATCAGTTTTTCATTGTGTCCAGTGGAAGGAAGTGCCTGTCGTTGCTGTGACCTCAGGCTCTGTTTGCTTCAGGCACGCTCCCTGATGAAACCTCTTGGGAATGTGTGGAGAGTCTCAGTGGGAGGAGGTTCACATTAGACAATGTTACGGGACAACAGAAGAATTTGTGCGGACAATAGCTGGATTGTGCAGGAGCAGAGCGATTATAAAAGGTCCTTTCATTTTTTTTTTTTAAAGGGACACATAGTTCTAACTGATTTTGGATTGTGCAAGGAGGGCATTTCCCAAGCAGACACTACGAGTACGTTTTGTGGGACGCCAGAAGTAAGTTTTTTTTTTTCCCTCTGTGGTTGTTTTTAACTGCTGTTTCTTTATGAATACCTACAATCTACAGGATTTCTGGATTTGTTTTCTCTTTTAAAACCGTTCCAGATCTGTTTTATATATTTGTGGTGCATTTATCTTTGTCCACAATGTCCCTTTGTTCAGTAGTTTTATATTGTGCATATTTTTCATGTCTCTATTACAGTATAATTGGTATTGTAGTAAATACCTTATGGGCCTAACTTTGAAAATAATAAACATTTATCATTTGAGCTCATCATTTCTTTTTCCACTTTTTAAAATAATTTAAACCACTGAGGTTTCTTACACTAAAAGCTGATTGTTTTCAAATGTAGTTGTTTGAGCTCCATAACTTGATTAACCTTTTATGTCATAACATGTAAATGTAAATGTACCTGCTTTACAGCATTTTTGCAATTGCTACATTTTTAGTTTGTCTCCATCTCTGAATATACCCAGTTAAGTAATGTTCCCTTGTGTGTGATTTTTAATTTAGCTTTTGTGCTAAATTGAAACTAATACACAAACTTGACTTCCTGCTTAATTATTTGCAGTGCTATATGGGACCCCCTGGTGCCTGCTATTCAGTAAGATCTGTGTTGTTACATTTGAATTACAGTATCTAGCACCGGAGGTCCTGAAGAAGCAGCCCTATGACAACACAGTGGATTGGTGGTGTCTTGGCTCTGTGCTGTATGAAATGCTGTATGGCTTGGTAAGACAGTAATTTTGTTGGCTGGTGGCTTTGGCAGTCCTCAGTCAGTTAGACGATGAAACAAGGGACATGGCTTTACACAAAGAGCTTTGGGAGTGTGGAACAAGCTATTCAGTCACATTCTCAAAACCCAAAATTCTTTCCAGATATTGTTAGATGAGATCGCCTAATTGAGGTTTGTACGGTAACTTAAAACATAAGACAGTTGTTTTTTTTTTCAGGTTGTTGAATAACTATTGATTTGTGAATGTCATGATGAACCAAAGTAAACATTCACCCTGCATCTTCAGACGTTCACAAGCTGCCACGCTGCAGAATGAAATGTGCATTATTCATTTCTGTTAAACTGTGGAGTGGCAGCACAGATTTCTGAAGTTTTAGGAGGCCTTCTTCCTTATTCTGTTCAGACAAATCAGTGTGGAGGTTTACCCGTGTAGTGCTAATGGTACAACTCCAAACAGCACCTGAGTCATGCCTTCCAGGTGTGGAACTGTGGAGTTATACAAAAAGAAAACTCAATTTTTCAAATAGATTTAGACTCCTTGCATTGCGAGAATTGCCCATTTGTTTTCCAAATGTATTTGTCATTTAAAATAGCTTTCGCCTACAATGTTGTTGTTGTTGTTTTTTCTGTAGCCTCCATTCTATAGCAGAGACACTCAAGAGATGTATGACAACATCCTCCACAAGACGCTGACAATGCGGCCTGGAGCTTCCAGCGCTGCCTGGTCTATACTGCAAGGATTGCTAGAGAAAGACCGGACGAGGAGGCTGGGGTCTAGAGACGACTTTGTAAGTAAGGGCGTTAACCCCGGCTTCCTCGCTATGCTCCCTTTGAGGTTTGCACGCTGACTTCCCTGTAACTTCCTCCTTAAAGGGGAACTGCACCACTTTTTTTACATTTTGGGTTTATAAAGAACGGGCATCAAGTTATTTTTCGGACCACAATGAAAGTACTGAGTACACGGTAAAGTGCAAAACCTCCAGCACACATCACAAAAGAGACCAAATTTCCAGGTATGCGCAGTGCCTTATTGCTGTTATTGTCTGCGATTCAGAACGAGTGATGTGAACCGGCCCAATTACATTGTAAACAAGCAGGCTTGTTATCCTCTTTTAATCCAATGGAAATATTGCTCTTTGTCATAAAAACATCATTATGCTTAAGACCTAAGTAAACATGTATATTAAATATGTTAAAAAGAATAATTGAAGTCGTGAAGATTTTTCTGTCACAAACTAATATCACCCTCACACTGCGTTACTTTTTATGGGCAGAAAATGCTAGGAATTGCACCTACTCTGAGCACACGTTTTTGGTTCTGTATCTAAAATGAAATGTATTTCAATTAAGAACTGTCAGGGTTCATAATCATTTGAACTCCAAAGCAGAGAAAATTTAAATGCACATCCTATCCCAAATAACAATATTTGAAAAACAATCTATTTCTGTTGCGATGAAGTACATATTTTAGACCAAGCAATCTTTGCTACTGTGTTGTATATAATTATGAAACAGTTATGAAACCATTATTAGTTATGAAACAACATATATAAGGTGACATACTGTATTTTGGTGACTTTGAGACGGTTTTGCTGACAAATATTACTTGTTAACTCTGCATGCAGATCACATTGGAACATTTCTATGTGAAATATCTGCTGCACAACTTATACTTATTTAACTGTACATTGCATTACATTAGTCATTACTGTGACTAGTGAGCAGGAAGGGCCAGTTTTACGTCGCAATACTTTCACAAAGTTCACGATTTTGTGCTTAATTCGTAATTGGCATCAATGAATTTATTTTGTTACCAAGATTTAATAACCTGTGTGAGGAATTTTTACTGCAGTGTTCCCTTAATGAGCAATTCCTAAAATGAGTTAAGGGAAATATCTGAATTTCAAGCAAATTACTTTTAAAGGTTTGTTTTTCATAGTTTATACATTTTTCTTTAAATAAAAAAGTTGAAGGGGCAGATATTTGCTATTTTAGCTCCTCCTAGTGTTGAAGCAAACAACTAACTAGACGTTTGTCACCTGCGAGACACTTGGCTGAGAGAGGTGTTCCAATGGATTCTGCTTGTAGGCTGTTTTTAAATAAAAATTAGGCGTGTAATAGAGTCAGCGAGTTACAATAGCAAGTAATTACTGGGATAATTGGATAACAAAATCTGGAAACCTGTAAGTTTCGGTTAAAGGACATCACTGTTCTTCTCCTCTTGAAGCGTACTGTATTTTAACGCTCGAAGGTGTGCCCTGAGCCATTATATGATCGTTTTAATTGGCTATTCTGTATAGGCTTCTGAGATTATACGTTAAACATAGTTTATCGATTCTATTTCTGTCTTGCAGAGCGAAATTAAAGGACACTACTTTTTTCATCTGATCAACTGGGATGACCTCGAGCAGAAGAAGATTCCTCCTCCCTTCAGTCCGCATGTGGTACGTCAGCTTCGATTTCAGCTGTTGCGTTCATTCCACCTTTTTAACACACCCGAATTTCTTCTTGACAAACGCCCCCCCCCCCACGATGTAACAGTGAATTTGCAAGTAGTTTCATATATGATAATAGCCTTTTCTCTTCCAGAATGCAGGCTTTTCAGCAGCACTGAGGTCAAACAAGCCTTGGCGCTATGAGTAAAATAATCACGTCTTAGAAAAGGATTTATCGAAATTAGTTCAGATAATTATTCAGAGTTAAGGGGAGATGAACCTTCTGTGTTATTTACCTACAGAGGGACAACAGGACCGGGGAATGAATCTGAAGTGTTCTAGGTTGGTTGATTTGTCTCACTTTTATGGACAGGTAGTAAAGAACAGCAATGTTATTATGAAGAAATATGCTGTATTTTGCAAAATAAATATGAACAGTCAAGTCTGATTCATTTTTCATCTGTAGAATTCTCCAGATGATATTGGGAACTTCGATCCGGAATTTACAGAAGAAATGGTTCCAAACTCCATTTGCTATACTTCCGACCATTCCATTGTTAACGCCAGCGTTCTGGACGCAGACGACGCCTTTCTGGGATTTTCCTACGCCCCGCCTTCCGAGGATTCCTTCCTGTAGAAGAAATCATCGGGGTTCTGGGACTGGTTCTGCAGGCAGGCACTGCTTTCTGCAAAACGTCAACCTCCTGCTCGCATTAACTGGAGCTGATACAGCCTTAACTTATGTAAATAGATTTTCCTAATAGCCAGGAATTCCTCTCCTGTGTACTGGATCAACACTTTAGATCAGGAAGCCAAAAGCATTCATCAGAAAATCACTTCTGGATAAAGTTTGTACAGCTGGCTGTAGTGATGCGAGTCCATCATTTTAAGATGAATCTATTTATGTTAAAGATGATGAAAATATTAGTGATGATTAGTAAAGTGGACATTGTAAAAGTGTATTGTGGGCAGAGATTTCTCAGGGAGCTGCCAACTTATACTCTCTCTTTGTTACAGCCTCTCTCTTCATGAATAGCGTCAAAATGTAAACCAAACACTGTAAGAAAAAAGTACAAGACGAGAACAGAGAAATCTCTGTTTACACAGTTTATATTAAACAATCGACTTGTAAATCCCAGGCATATATTTATGATTGTATTCTATTTTTCTTCTTGGACCAAAGTGATCACCTTTTCCTAACCAAAATTGCACACGTCCTTGACCATCTCTGCTTTAAATAGAAAGCCTTTGCTTTTTTTCTTGCGAGATTTCTACTTAAAATAAGACTTAACACTCTTCAGAAAGCAACAAAATACAGGTACATCAAAATATAATTTATGGGAAATATCTCAATTTCAAGAAAATTACCTTTAAAAGTTTTATTTTCATAGCTTGTACATTTTCGTTTAAATAACAACTAAAGTTGAAGGGGCATGTTTTATTACTTGCCTGGAAAGTGAATTTGTATCTAATGGATTTTGCAGCAGCATTTTTGCAACTACCTTTACTTTACAGTATTTATAGATTTCTGATTAATCCTTTGTTGCTTTTTGGAAAGGTTTTGAATCTATTTTTCCACTATATAATTTATATCCACTCCATAGCTATTGATTCAAAGACATTAAATGTCTGTATTAGAATTCATTCCAGCAGATCCTGTATGTAGTGGTGGAAGTAGAATTTTACTCAAATTAGTGTCAGACATTTTTTTGTTACGAAATGTAAAACATTAGCCCTCTTTGAGTTGTACTGTAAGATTAAAATGATTATCCTGCGACAAGAGAGACTTGTTTTTATTTGTAATGTAAACCTTTAATGTTCAATTTCCACTTCACTGGGGAATTTTGATCAGCATTGTGAAACAATTACAGTAGCTACCCTTGTAAAAGCCTTGAAAAAGAAAATGATGGTTATCCACCAGCATAGCAGCAGAAGCAGACAAGACATCTTGTTTTGGGAGAAAAAAATATATATTTTAAAACTTGTGTTTACCTGGGAAACTCATCACTCTGGTGTTTGGCACTATACCTTGTGTGTCCTTGGGTGTAAATTTCCTGACTTTTTACAAAATATTCCAGGACTTATCTGATCAGGTACATTTGTAATAAATAACATTCACATTTGAAGGCAAAGCACACAAAACACACACTCCTCCAAGTACATCAGAATTAGCAACTGGTGTGTATTTGATTACCAGTGGGATTCTCCAACTACATTATCAAACTAGAGCCCTTAACTCAGGAAATCCTGTGAACAACCTAGGCATTTTCTGTCAGACGTTTGTATTTTAATGTTTAACAATGTGAACAACCGCAAACTATAAAAAACTTATTGCCATTTTATTGTGAACTAGATTGCTTTGTAGTTCCCAAGAATAGATTTAAGGGTGGTGTTGAAAGCTAAGTATGAAAAAAAAGTTCTGTAGAAGAGAACTCAGATTGTAGTATTATTAAGGAGAAATGCCCTACTATTATAGAAAGTTATCGTTTAAATGAAGTTGTTCCCATCTGTTGTCCTTGATCATTAATTAACTGTAAGGGCGAATTTAATTTGGCCTCAACTGACGCATTGCCAGATCATTCTCAGGTTACAAATTCGCTCGACAATCTCGCTGTTGTGTTTAAAAGCAAAAACTTGTTAAAAGTAATTAGTTTTACTGAAGGACATAAATACGACGAACTTTACTTTTTACGAGCTCATTTAATCATTTGAAAGAAAGGGGATGTTTGCTTTCTTTTTCTGGTACCCATTTTTTCCAAGGAATATTGTAGTGTTGTCTTTACTCCAGTGTAATGCCTGTTCGCCGTAATGAACGACAACTACGCTATAGGAAACAACAACCTGAAATAAACTGAAATGTGATGTTTTATTAACGACGAGCACCGGCGTCTTCGCCATGACACTTCCTCGCACGAGCCGCCGGAAAAGCAAACTCGAGCGCGGTTCGCCTCTAGGCTCGAGCGCCAAAGATGGAGGCGCAGGAGACGCTGGAGTTGAAGGAGGCGGCCCTGTCCTACATGGACAGGACCGGCGGTCTGCAGCGGCTCATTGAGGACTGCAGACAGTACACTGGTACGGGCTGGGGACGCGTAATGTTCATGGAATGACAGGGGGAGGGTGTGGTGCGAAGGTAGCCGATGGTGAACTTCATGTTTACAAAACTGACAAGGGTCAGGTCAAGAGTTCAGTTTTAACTTCCTGTTCACGTATAGTGACTTCAGCTAGTACGTGATGGTGTTGTACAGTATGTGCGTCCCTGTTTAATACGCCTTGGCTTTAGCCAAGTTTGATCCAGGAAGTCAGACGGGATAGCCCGTGTCACTTTGTCAGCGTCATGTAATGTCATGCTAGCTGTGTTTTACATAAGGCATGAGCGATTAGAATAGATTAATACCCTTATTGAGAGACCACACAGTGACTTTATATTGAAATGGGGAGACGTTAAAGTAGCACAACCAGATCAATTAAAAAAAGTTTTATAAGTGTGAAGCTAGATCGGTAACTCGGTCGCGCAGAAAACAAATGTTTATATTGCGCCTTTTAAAGTGTCGCCTTCAAGCGCTTTACAGGAAAAAAATGATATACAATAAGAGGAGACAGCAGAATTACACAGTTAACAATGAGGGTTTGGGATTCAAGAGGAAAGTAAAGGGGGCAGAAAGAGATCCAGTTAAATAAAGTCCCTTCTAAAGAAGGAGGTTTTTATTCTTGATTTGAAAGAGCTCCGGGAAGATGACTCTCTGATATCCTTAGGGATAAAATTCCAGAGCTCTGGGGCATTAACAGGAAAAGGCCCTGTCACCCACAGTGGAGACAGGCTTGGGGGACAGACAGCAGACCAGAATTAAACGAACCAAGGTTGCGAGGTGGGAAGTGGGACAATAGTAACAGACAGGTACAGTACTGAAGTGCCAAGCGAGAAAACAGTTCAGCTACTGATAACAGGAACATGATGGCGGAGAGGCAGGCAGTGCTGTACCACAGGGTTCAATTTGTACACTTCAGTGTCAAATCTGCATGTGCTGTAGAGGGTATGGGGATTGCAAACATGCGGTGGATTGCAAAGTGTAGAAATCCAAAGGAATGTCGAAATATAAGCATTTCACGGGTAATACTTCACTTACAAAAGTGCCTCCTCTTTTTTTTTTATTCAACTACACAAGGTTTCCATCTGTGTCTTCTGGTTGGTGTTTCACTGTTGGTTCTGAAGACCCCCCCCCCCGTGCTGAATTTGAATTGCCTCTGTCTCAAAAATAATTACCTCGCTTTACTCCTGAGCACAGATATTACTGGTTCATTCGATGTTTGTATTCAGAGCCCTGGAAGGAACTGGTGAAAGCCCCAAAACTGGGGGAACACAAATGCAAAATAAGTGGAGGAAAAATTCAAATTGAAAGTGGGAAGGTATTTAACCCCTTTGTAGTGGCAATCCTATACCAGTTCTTCTGCAAAACCTTTTAACTTTTCTTCAGGGTAATTGAACCTGTCTCTGTAACGAAGTTTCCTCAGTTGGATTTGGAACGTCACAACATAACTCAAATAGTGATAAGACAAACGAATCATGAAGACCAAGAAACTTTCTAAATGAGTCAAGCATAAGGTGGAAGGGACATACAGATCAGGAAAAGGTTACAAGAAAATTTCAAAGTCACTGATCACCATTAAAAGGTGCACTTTACATTACACTATCCACATGCTACCCAAACATGGCTATCCTACCATATTCAGTAAGTAGATAGACTTGGTTAATGTGAAGCCAACAAGGACTTAGAAAAGTCTGTAGAGCTCTGCATCTGAGTAGGACTCTGTGTTCCTACATTGACAATATCATATTTCTTGCACTAGGCTGGCCTGTATGGGCAAGTGACAAGAACAAAACCCTTATTGAAAAAGCTCATGACTAAGCATGTAAATAATACTGCAAAAAGAAGGTTGTGATGTAACTCCTACTGTCAAGTGCTTTGAGAAGCCACTTTTAGAGGTGCTATGTAAGATGAAGGTCTTTTATTATTACTGTTGTTGTTGTTTTATAAAATAAGAACTTATATTTATATCATTCTAATAAAATGAAATACTAAGCATTTCATCTGGCACAACCCCAGCATAGCACATAACCCAGACAACACCATCCCAGCTGTCAGGCTTGATGGTTGCAGGGGTGCCTCTCATCTGCAGAGACTGGGAAGATTGAGGGAGAAATAGGTGGTGCAAAATACAGGAAAATGTCAGGAGGACAATGACTGAAGCGTAAGACCAAAGCCACATTGGAGTGGCTTGACAAGAAAAGAGTGCATGTTCTTAAGAAGTTCAAAAGGGACTTTCACTCCATTCTTGTTTCCAGTATATCATTGATGACAAAACTTGAAAACTGTAGTCCATCAGCATCCCTCAATTAACTCATCAGAAGTGAAGTCATTTTACCAGGACAAATGAGCAAGATTTATATAATCTCACTGTGCAGAACTGGTAGAGATCTTTCCAATAGTAGTGACAGGAGTAATTGCTGCCAGAGGTTCTTCCATGAAGTAGTGACTTATGGGGCTGAATGCATATGCAGATAAGCATTCAGAATTTGTAACATTCAGCCTCCTTCACGTAAAACAGCGAGTATGTTGATCATAATTTTTATGACCAACAGTTTTTTTTACTATTCTTAAAATCAAATGGTTTGGATTAAAGAATTAAAATATTGTGTATATATTTGTAACTCGTTCAAATTAGAGTTTACTGGTAAAATTGCAAGTCAGTGTTGGTGACATCTTCTATTTTTGTGTTGTCTGCCCAGCTGGAATGTAAGATAATGGGATTAGTGAGTCAGACCTTTAAACTGAAAAATATCTTTGGTTTGTCACTTCATTGATTCCCTGCAGTTCCCCAGACACTTACCTTTGTCAGTGCTTTGTTTTTTCTAATGGTTGGTCTGTTAAAATAGCGTAAAACGTTGGCTGCAAAAGCAAGGTTAATATGAGCTGCTTTGTTTGTTCGTTTCTGTTCTTAGATGGTTTAAAGACACACTGGAACTGCTATTAGGAGTCTGAGTAAAAAGGACTATTATATTTTCAACATTAAATTTTCAACAATCATCACAAAAGTTACACTTATTAAATTATTTGAAAGGGCAAATGCTCTGAATTATTATTATTATTATTAGAGTTGAATTATCTGCCTTTTTCATGTTTTTTGACCAGATTCGCAGCAAAGCGAGTCGGTGTACCGGTTCTGTGTCCGTGTGAATCCTACAGACGTGACTGAGATAGATGCTAGGCTTGGGAACTGCATATTGCACGACCCACTAAAAGCTGCTGGCCTTTTTCAGTCTGTAAGTACAGATAATTCCAGGTAAACCTTAAGTTAAAAGTTACAAAAGTGTTGCACATCATCACCTTCAACAAAGAATCCGCTTGCCTTGTAGGTGTGTTTTATATCTATCAAGACATTATCGCTCATTGAGAAAATATGCTCAGAAAATCAGGTAGGACTTGCCCTCATAGTCATTTGAAATGGTGGTGCAGTATTGACTGAAAGCAAATACCATATTCATGTGTTCTGAAAAAACATCTAGACAATAAGTTGAATAAGTTATTAAAATAGGTTAATAACTTATGTAGTGTATTATACCTGTACACCTAATGCTCTGCTGTTTTCTGACAAAGTGTTCTTTCCCGTCAGGTCATTGTCGTGCTGAAGCTGACACATGTGCCCCCCTTTCCAGACTACCTCCTGGACCTGAGTCACGTCCCGCGGGGGGACAGTCCCATGAGGCCCCTCATGCTGGAGGGGCTGGCCATGGCGATGACACTTGTGACGAAGTACACACAGGGGGCCAGGTTCCTGTGTACTGAGGACTCCTGTCCAAACTCACAAGGTGACATGAAATTACCTGCAATATGTACTATATGTACTTTGGATCGGCATCGCCGAAACATCTAGATATATTCACCACTTTGCAGAAGTATTAAATAGTATGCACTGTCCACTCTTTTCACTCACTGTGTTATGTAGAAGCATGATTCTGTTGCAGTCTACAGAAATTTAGCCATTTTGTTTTAATAGTTGATCCTGATAAAGCTGTATTTTGTAGTATAAAAAATAACCTCAAACTACTACAGCCTTTCAGCTTTATGGATGTGTAGAAAGGAGCAAATAACGATAATGCGAGGAGCACCAAACAATGAGTCACCAATTAGATTTGATTGTTAAATGTGACGGACTGGGTATTACAACAGTTTGGCTGCTTGTATCGGGTTTACTTTGAGTCCTTGCGATCAGACTTTTGAAGACTCTGATCAATAAGGATCAAAGATTGTTCAAAACAAGACTGGTTTGTTCTCACTCAAACTAAACTAAATTAACAGCAGTCTGAGTTGTAATAGTAGAAAACACTATTGGAGTTTTTGTGTAAATTGTGCATTGTAACTCCAGCTTTTGTCTCAGATGCGTAAGATTTTTGTAGAGACATGGCTTTAATAGCACTTCATGAGCTACACAAAAATCTGACTTTTTCTATTAAAGCAGGATGGGACAGACAGCCCTCTGGTCCCATTCAGCTGAGTCAGTAGTGATAAAGCTGTTTGCTACTGAGGTCATGCAAATATTGGTGAACTTCCTTCTTGTCTGCTGCTGTGGTATAAAGATAAACATTTTATTGTATTGCTATTAAAAGTTAGGATTGCAAAGGATATACATAGAAATAGCTTCCAGCTGGTTTTGTGTGTCCTTGTTGATATCCTTCTCAGTAAATCCATTTCAGTCTCGTGCATTCTGTAGCTCGTTCAGCTCGTAACTGCACTGGGCCAGTTTTTTTCTGCCCTCGATTCCCCCTTTAAAAGCTCGGTCTCCCACGTCTTGATTTCTACAGGCCTTGTTTTCGGAATTAGGAAATGCATGCATTATGCAAGGTAATTTACCTAGGAGGTGGCTTAGACAGGATCAGCTACCAAATTTGAAAATGTGAAGGTTGTCAGACTTGCAGGAATGCAGCGATATCTGCCTAGAGTGCTTCCACATGCCTCAATCAGAGAGCATACCATCAATACAAATTATATTATGTCCTTTCTACAATGCAGACATATAGAATACAATATAGATGGCATTGAGCATTTTCTTCTCTATAGGATTTCAGAAGATCCGGGTGCATGTCCCAGGAGCCACAGAGTGGGCCACAGTGAGGAACGATTTCACCTGCTCCTTGTGCGGCTCCCCACTGAAAGAGGATGTGAAGTCCAGAGTGCTGGGTGGTCAGGGACTTTTACTGAAGTTTAACTTTAGAGCAATATGTGCTTTCGTTCTTATAGAACTCTGTGGCGGAAACCTGGAGAGAACAAAGTTAGTATATTTGGTGTAGATAGTATAATTTAGGCATTCAGGCATTGGAAGCAGCCTTCCAAGCAGCCTATAGCAGTTGTGAGAATTTTTGTCTCGCCGCTGTGAAAACTGCATGTGTTCAAAGAGCCTTGTCACTAAAATGATATCTATCACAAAGTTACCACTAGCTGGAGTTAACTGGCCAAACGAAGGAAAACAAAGGTTTCCCCAAGCGTGTGCTAACCCGGTATGAATGTGTGAAGTATCTCTGCAAGGTGAGAGATACAGTGGTTTCTCTTGCAATACGGAAAAATGGCAGATTGATTTAAATTAGGATGGTCGCCTAACCTTCATCAACATTCCTTACTGCTGACTGCTCCCATGCAAGCACTGCTTGGCCAATCAAGTCCAAACTTGGTAGAGTTGATATGATGATATAATATAACTCAATATAGAATTAGGATGTGGTTAAATACGATTCCTGTTTGCTGTTCATTTTTAAAAGACAAACAGCTGGTGGAGGTGATCCATGCTAAGGCCCTTCGTGTGCTGAGCGCTCACACACTGAGCTCCTCGAGGCATCAGTCTCTGACAGTCTTTCTGAGAGGTAGGATTGCACTGCTTTTACAGAACATAAAACCAATAATTCGATAATTCTTCTCAATGTGGCAGTAGGATTTACTCTACATAGTCATGCGTGTCAGTCTATTTTTATAAATCAGTCATTATGTTGTAGCTTCAAATAAGCGATCTTTTCCAACTTTAGGAAATTAAAGAGAAAAGAATGTCCTGCTTATTGAGATTATGTCATTTTGTTGTTACTGTTTTTTAAATACCAGCTTCTCCCTTGACAGAATAGTTATAAATCATTACACCCCTGTTTATGTGTAGTACCCCTTCCTCAAGGATAGTCTTTCTTCTTGTCCCAAGAATAGTATAATTCCCACGAGAACTCTCCGTACAAATTGTGTGTTTTTTGTTGATCTGCTGTTTTAGGTTAAGGAATTTAACGTGCATCTTTAAATTTAGCTTTAGTTACTAAATTGATATGTTTAATATATAGCTGATTTTTTCTTGAATAGCCGAAGCACAAGTGACATCTGTAGAAAACAAAGACATAATAAAAGATAAGACTGCTTGTGTTTAACACACAGATGAACTTTGCAACTCCATAAAAATAGGCAGACTGTACAGGATCATTGGAATCCCTGCACACGTACACCAGTGGCCGAATGTGACTTTCAGCGTGGAAGCTAACAGTGTACAGCCGTGGGTCCCAGAATGTAAGCCGCACCTCTGTCTGAAAGTAGCGGCGAAGAACATACATTTCATAAAGTGTCACAGTAGCAAGAGATTCACATAATACCCTTCTGTCGTTTGAACCCAGGCCCCTCGTTCATCAGTGATAATTTCCAGGCTCTGTTATCCGCCACTGCCTGTTCCCCATGGAGATTTCCTGCCATTGTGGCAAATGCTTTTGGATCTCAGATCGTTCCACCTGGGTTATACAACACCTTGAAGCTGTGCCTGCTGCTGAGCCTGGTACAGACTGCAGGGGAGGACAGAGAGACGCTCAGCTACCTCGATGTCCTGGCTTTGACCACTGACACCCTTGTAATAGACAGGTACTTCACAGCAAGTGTCCCTGTGCACTGTGCTGCCTTTTACCATTTAACCAGGAGAAGTTTCTGAGGACTTCATGGAGTTTGTAACAAAAGTTCGAGAGGGATGATAACCAAGTTCAATCAGTGTTGTTATTTGGGATATAATCATCTAAAAATAATGTATAACCTTGAGGAATAAAGCAATTTATTTCTAGAAATGTATATAGTTAAGACGTAATTCCGTATATTTATAATAAATTACATTCTTCAGATTTATAGGAGAGGATTGGCTTAGTAAAATAACTGCAAATTATAATTCAATTTTTGTTCTGTTAATTTGGCAGGCTGATGACCTACAGCCTTGCTCTTGCGTCTCGAGGGGTACGCCACAGGACATCTGGTGAGCTGTTCCCCTCGGTGTCCAGGGATGAGCATGGTACAGGGGCTGCCAGCATCCATGCTGGCGCCGCCCTGCTGGCCACCGGAGGAATCTGCTTCATCGGTGATCTCGCCTCCTGCAGGAAAGACAAGGCAGAATTGCTTCAGTCGGGTATCAGTTTATAATAAAAGGTTTACACCTTTAAGCAGGCTACAAGCACAAAAAAGCAGAGTCAAAACACACTCAGCCCATAAGTCAGTGAATCAAAGTCAGGAAAGCAGTGCCTCACATTGTTAAATCACTTCAAACATTCAAAGAGAAAGGAAGCAATTGAGGAAGTGTTGAGAATGACATCATCTTAGAGTGGACTGGCGCACTCTGGCTGCCATCGCATCATCCAGGTGGGGCTGCACACTGGTGGTGGTGGAGGGGAGTCCCCATTATCTGTAAAGCGCTTTGTGAGAAACTTTTTGCTTTTTTGCCAGAAAAGTTCTATATTATTATTATTATTATTGCTGAACAAACCTCAGTAATAATCTTTGATTTTCCATTTTGCAGCTTTGGAAACCAGGGCTGTCACAGTATTCATTCCTGGGAAGAAGTATGGAGAAGACGCTGACCAGCAGCTGTCTCTTCCACTCCAGTGTAATATCTGGGCCCTTGCTGATACTGGAGCTTCAACCAAAAAGTTTTTAAAGTATGAAAATGCAGCGCTGGGATCAATGGTATGTCAACAGCCTAGAACTGAAATATGAAAATATTTGCAAATCCAATTTAAGATTTTTGAAAATGGATCTCAGGACAATGAGGAGTAGAAATTTTGATATCTGGATAGTTTTCACAAATGTTGTTGCTGTTAAAAGGTAGATCTTTCTTTATATTGTGAGGATCCCAGTAACTATATGTATTTTAAAATAGCAGTCTCATTATTGCTGATCTCTTCTCAAAAGTTAGTTAAATAAATTATTCTCGGGCTGCCATAATCATTAATCTTCATTCATCAACCAGCTACGTGGGGCACAAAGTCATGATGTATTAAACTGGAGTGGAGGCGGTGCCATCAGGATGTGAATTCAGGCAGGATATGGAAGCAATTTACTTTCTCCGAAGGAAATTATTTACTGGATTTTTGCCATTTAAAGCAATGTTTGAGACAGGCCTAGCCTTTTGGTATGCCATAGCTATCGATGTTTTAAAATCACATCACTTTCATATCTTGCATAAAAGCGCAGTCTTTAATCAAGTGAGTCTTAAATTTAATTCAGAGTGAGACATGATCATCTTAGTAGCACTTCTGGGAAAGATGCGTTCTAGAAAACAAACAGCAGGTGACATTCAGGCCAACATGAAAAGCCGAAGCATTACAGGTGTTTACTGGCATGAAGTGAATACAACCATGGAAAACTAGCACAAGAAAACGCTTTGACGTGACCAGAAGAAGACTATGCTAACGTTTCTTTTCCCAGTATTCATCCCTTTGTATCCCATCCCCACCTGGCCCTTGCAGCAGCTTTCTCGGAAAGCTCTCGGATATGCCACAGAGTCGGAAGAGCTGAATTTTGAAAAGCGCCGATCAGGAGCTTGGTGTACCTCCTTCCAGCTTTGAACACTTGACTAGTTATATTATTTGAAACGAGCCCACGTTTCACTTTGAAATTCTAGTCCAGAGTGAAGTCAGATATATCTTAGCTAAAATAGTAGTCTGTGGTTCATTTTAAAATGAATGGTGTCCCATCCATTCATTTTCTAACCGTTCTCTCCAGAACAGGGTTGAAGGGGATACAATTACATGTTATATCTATCCTTATTTTAAAATCATTTTGGCTTAGTATGAAAAGTTTGGGATGTTAAAAGTGTGCCAGAGGTGAGAGAGATTGGGAAGCACTGGCTTACACCATCCTCATCACTAGGATGTTGTCTATCAACCAAACAGGCTGAGTACAGATGTTCTTTTTGCTCTTAGATTATTAGTCCACAAACCTTGAAAACATGAAGGTGTCAGGGGTGTCTTTGTCTTCAGAATTGCAGAGTTAGGAGGAATGTTGTTCCTCAGCATTCTCAGCAGCTATATCACCCTGTAGCTCACAACTTGCAGCCCACTGAAGCTCAGCAGGTGTGAGCCTGGTCAGTACATGGATGGGAGACCTCCTGGGAAAGCTAAGGCTGCTGCTGGAAGGGGTGTTAGTGGGGCCAGTAGGAGGCGCTCACCCTGAGCTTTATATGGGTCCTAATTCCCCAATATAGTGACGAGGTGTCGTCCTTCGGATGAGAAGTAAAACTGAGATCCTGACTCTCTGTGGTCATTTAGAAATCCAAGGGTGTTTCTCTAAAAGAGAAGGGGTGTTACCCCAGTGCCCTGGCCAAATTCCCCCTGGCCTTTACCAATCATGGCCTCCTAATAATCCCCATCTCTGAACTGGCTTCATCACTCTGTTTTCCTCCCCACTGAGAGCTGGTGTGTGGTGAGTGTACTGGCACATGATGGTTGCTGTCACATCATCCAGGTGGGGCTGCACACTGGTGGTGGCAGAGTGGAGTCCCCATTACCTGTAAAGCGCTTTGAGTGGAGTGTCCAGAAAAGCACTATATAGGCGTAAGGAATAATTGTTATTAAACACATTGTGCATGGTGAGTAAGATGTTAACTGACTGGCTGGCCCACAAAATTGCTCGTTTGTGTTTCTTCTTTGTTTAGGATACTGGCTTCCTTCCGTCGCAGATGAGTGACGCTTTTGGCCTTGTGATTCACTGTCGAGAGCTGCCCATCGAGCGCCCAGCCCTGCCACTAGCAGTGCACATCCTCAGACAGGCCGTCAAACCTGAGGAGCCTCTCTACCCAGCTTCAGAACAGTTCACTACAGATGACTACAAAGGGGTATCGCTCAGCTCAAAACTGCGCACCCACTCTCAAAATCCGCACTGTTATGGTGACTTTTTCGTTGCCTCTAAACAGATCCGAAAAATCTCTGGTGTAAAATTCACGTTCCAGGCTTTTACTAGTTGTTCTCGCCCTTGTTGCGTGCTTTGTCTAACGGAAGACGATGCTGTCCTCATGCCCCAGCTTATTGCTGCCGCGAGGGGAGTGCAGGCCGAGCTGAGTCCCGAGGCAGAGAGGCTGATCCACGGCTACTTCCTGGCCAGCCGCAGGGTCCGCACTGGCACAGCCCAGGGCCCCAAAGTGCCCGTCGCCTCAGTGAAGCTTCTGTAAGCTGCCCACCCCGTCACAGTTCAGGCTACAATCCATTACTTGATTCAGTTAAAATGCACTGGATTCCAGAAGTCGATCATTCCTTATGTAGTTTGCAGCAAGAAACATTTTATTTTCAGAATTAATGTTTTTGTCCACAAGGTGGAGTACTGTAGCTGCTCCTGAGTTGTTTGACAGAATTTTGATTATTTTTTTTTACTTTTTACCTTGGGGAAAAATGTATTCTCACTTCTTTCTTCCACTCGGCTAATTTCTGTGACCGTGGTCTTAATGTCAATATTGTGGAACTCAATTAACCAAACAATAACGGTTGTAATACCCTCATACTGAATGAGTGCGAATACTGCTTTACTTGGTCAAACCAGCAAGCAGTAAATCTGCTTGTTTGTTTACAAGGTTTTCCTTCGCGGAAGCACATGCTAAGCTGAGCCTGAGGAGCAGAGTCCTGGAGGAGGACGCCGTCATTGCAGTGCTGCTCTGCGAGAACTCCATCACTCTGAAGCACGGTGAGCTCAGCCATCTTCTCCTTCCAACTTCCAAGGGTGAATCGGTAGCCCTTTAAATAATTCACACATACATTACCAGAAAAACCTTGTACAAGTTATTTTTATCTGAGAAACGTCATTAATGATACACTTGATAATAATAATAATAATAATAAACTTTATTTTATATAGCGCCTTTAAAGGTGGCTTCTCAAAGCGCTTTACAGGATGACAATAACAATAAATAAGGAGACTACAACAATAAATAAGAAGATTTCACAAGATAGGACACAATTATAATTACAACAATAACAATAGAGGAGACCGTGGAAGGTGGTATTAAGAAGAGCAGAGGGGTGAAGAGTGGAACCAGTTAAGTAAAGGCTTTTCTGAAGAAGAAGGTTTTGAGTCTAGATTTGAAGGAGTTTAGAGAAGATGACTCTCTTGGGCAAAGAGTTCCAGAGCTTGGGGGCATAGCAGGAGAAGGCCCTGTCGCCCATACAATGTAGACGGGCTTGGGGGACAGTAAGGAGAGCAGAATTTGAAGAGCGGAGGTTGCGAGGTGGGGAGTAGGGCGATAAAAGTTCAGACAGGTATTGAGGTGCTAAGCCATGTAAAGCCTTATAGGTGAGCATGAGGATTTTAAAGTCAACGTGGAATTTGACCGGAAGCCAGTGCAAGGACTCCAGGATAGGAGTAATGTGAACACTTGCACTAGACCTGGTCAGGATTCTGGCTGCAGAATTTTGGACATACTTGAGATTTTGGTTAGCTCGGCGGGGCTCTCCACTATTTGGTGAAGTAACTCGGTTGCTGAATTAGACCAACTTTACTATTTTCCACCCTTTAATAATGACATGTTTGATCTTCAGAATACAGGGTCCTGGCAGTGGGAACTCCACACCAGATGTAAACACATTTAATATAAACGTTACTTCTAAAATTATCATGACAATTATACAGTAAAGGAACATTTAGATTTAAAAAAACTGCTTTGCTTGCAGGTAAGCAGTTGTGTTGTGTGAATTTCAGGTGCCTCTGCGCTCGTTTTGCCCCCTGAGGCAGTATTCTCCTGTGGCCTTCATGACCAGGCCTCCCTGGAGAGACGAGACCTTGCTTTACGCCAGCTCCACCAGCAGATCCTCCAGTTCGTCTTGACATACGCACCCGGGGCCAGCTCTTACATTTCAGAGGAGTAGAACATCCCCCAGTTTCTCAAACACCCCTCCAAATGCTCAACTGGCTTTTACTGCCCATTGAAGAAAGATTGTTACACAATTTTAACAGAAATGTTTTATAGTAAGATGCACTAATAAAAGCATACATTTTAATTGTGACTAGAATAATTAGAAAGGAATTTTATTTTGAATTGTCAATTAACGCTATCGACCAATTTTCTGTGATATTCCCTGTACCTACACAAGGGGAATAAACTGTAGAAAAACTCACTTTGACTTACCCAACAATTCGCCCACTCATTCACAGAGCCCATTCTGCACTCAAAGGAATCAAACTATAGTATTTCTATATTATACAATTAAAGCCAATCCTGAAGTGCTCACATTTTTATGTTCAAATGTACTAAATGTACACAGTGGTGCTGTGGTTAGCATTGCCGTCTCACAGCCCTGTGTTCAGCTCCAGACCTGTGTGCTATCTGCTTGGAGTTTGTATGTTCTCCCCACATGCACATGGGTTTCCCTTATGGTCCAGGGAGGTATTGGGAGGTTAGATTGTGTTCCGGGACAACTGTCCCTGGTGTGAGAGTGTGCACGCGTTTGTGTGCCCTGCAATGGGCTTGTGTTACATTGCATCTCATAAGTCATATGCAGTGGTAGACAAGAGAGACCAGACAGAAGACTGTTTCAATCAGCATTTAATTAAAACTTCTCGGGGACACCAAAGCCCCTAAAGCAACAAAGACTTGAGTCCCAGGTCAAAATCCATGTTAACAAAAACTCTGATTCTAACACAGAACATGGATAATATTTTTCATGTGTTAAGGTACAACACGTATAGTGCTGCCCCAATGTACTTCTTCACCAGTCTTCTATGGCACCGCAAATCTGCAAGAATAAGTATCCATCAGTTAGAATCACAGCAGCAGAAGAATAAAACTGAGAATAGGATACTAAAATTATTCCAAATTGCACAGACCTACAGAATCTTTCTGTGGATGCCCCTGAAAAAAAGTAGTCAAAATGAACCCTAATATCTTGAGATTAAAGTTTTATGTGTGATAATTGTTCTTCACGCTATCAGTTGTTAAAATAATCCAATGGAAGCATGTTCAAATGAAGCAGAATCCACTATTTTTGTTTTTTTTAGATGTTTCTACCTGCACCTTTACGTGTTCTTATGGTAATCAAATCATACTGTTAACACCAAGTCTTGATTCCAGCACAGACAGCATCACACCTTCAATGTGGTGCAACGGGGACAAGGTTAGTATGTAGCTGTTTCAGCACCTAAATCTAGCTGTGAATACTGACTAGCACAGATACTGATGCCATTTAGAATGTAAAAAAATGGGCTGATGCTTACAGAAAAAAAATAAAAATCCACAGTGACATCTAGCAAAGTGTATCAAGTAACTTCCTTCCTGTGAAACATCTTAAGGAGCAGAATTCAACAGCATTGGTAACTGCCAAGTTGCCTTTTAGTAAGTCCAAACACAAATTGGTGAATAGTAAGTGCAACAAGTGCGTGTCACACTGAATATGCCATGCTTTATAAGGCTTAGGGACGACAGCTTCTCCAACATGTGCCCCTCCACCACCCTACCACCTTTCATGAACAATGCCACTATAGTGCCAAAGCAAGTGACAGCAAAATATACAAGAGACATGCACAACCGTGATAAACTTAAGCAGTACTGTACTTTCTTCATTCATGAGTTCTTTACTGGCAGCTCTTTGAAGATCAGAAATAAGGAATTGTAAAACTCTCTACTCAGAAGCCCTTACCAGCTGACTGACTGTCAGTTATTGCCCAATGCATCTGATCTGGTCTCAGAGTGGGCCATGTCCTCCCGAGTCCCCACTCCACTACCATCGAATTCCTGAAACAAGAAGAGATCTTAAATGAGCATTCCAAACTCATTAATTTTTTCAGAATTACTAAAGGCATGAAAATTCAGCTTCAAAATTCAGCAAATTTTCCAAAACCTTCTACAAAACCAAATTCTAGCTCTGCGCAAACTTTATACACAACTGCTAGCTCAAGTCAGTGCTGCTGCTGGAGGCTCAGATCATCACATCGTCAGCATCCCCATATACAAGGTATGAGTGGTAAACGGCGAATTGTGTAATCATCACAGCTCCAGCAGGAAAGGCACCTTAACGTTCACAAGCAGCAGGTGTAATAACTGCCAGCCCAGCAGTAACCTTCCACTTCTGGTGTTTATGACTAAGACCTCAGCATGACTTCACCTAATCTGGGACAATAACCATCACTCCTGAAGAAACAGGAGTACCTGCAAACTGTCCCAAGCGTTGGGGTTAAAGTTCTGCAACTGATTTCGGTACCAATGTTACCTGATGCTTCATGCGCTCTCTCCTCTCCCAATGATCAGCTCCAAGAGCTGTCCTCTAGAGTCCTCACAGAGTGTAGAAACTTGTTTTTCCCCAGGTTCTTCAGGTGACATTTTTTCCTCAATTCCAGCAGCTTGCTGTCCAGCTCTTCCTTGAGAGGCTTCAGCATCACATGGTTCTTGTTGACTGAAATCCTGAATGAAACCGATTCTGAAAACTTGTCTCCTCTCTCTCCTGGATTAGATCAATGTCAGCCATCACTTTTGACTTTTCCCCCCCTCTCAGTTGAGCTTCAGTATGCTTTTCTCCACCGAAATGCACATCTGAAGTCATATACTCCACTAACATTTCTGTCATGATCAGAAATGCCTCCAACTCCTACAGTGTCAACTTTCGAACAGGGTCGTCACCGGGCTTGCATCCCAGGGATCAATCCTCACCCTTGTTTTCCTTTGCCGATTTCTCCAATTTCAAACTCATAGCTTGACACTTTAATCCGCACAAATCTCTGAATGCTCAGCTGTTGATCTTGTCAGACAAGAGTAAAAAATACCCCCCAAGTACACAATGCAAAATGGGGTGCAGAACTAATGGAAAAGGTCACTCTTGAAAAAGTTTTTTTTTTTTTTTGAGGATGACATTGATAGGCCAGCAGACTGTATCTGAAGGAAAGGTTGGCGTGTGCAGACAGTGGTCTGTGCTTCATGGTGTAGGTCTTAGTGTTGATCCCCAACTCCCTGAAAATCAGAAATAAACATCTTTCATAATGTAGAGAACACACACAATACATTATACCAAGACACCATTACAGAAAACAGTTATGAAGTGTGATAACCTACATCAGTACAGTGGTACTAGTATGTCAGTACAAACCATCTAGATTTGAGAAAAGGGAGTCTTAAAGAGTTCACAGGAACATAGATGACTCCAGGTCTAAGGGAATTATCATAAATAGATAAGTTAAGGTGCCAAATTGTTTCAAGTCCAGAACAAATGAGACTGAAGAGTTTAGATACATATAAAATGCTAATTAATGTAAAGAGAGGGTCACACTCAGGGGATGGTTTGTAACTCAGTGAAACAAGGCCAAGGGGTCAGAATTGGACATTAAAAGAGAATCCATTTACAACTGAACATAAAACTTCACACAGAGTGGTGGGGATTTAGATTATGTCAATAAACAGCAGGATCAGATTTTAGATGAATTTAACTATTACACTACTGAAACAAGCCAGACAGACCAAACAGGTTGCCCTCATTGGCAACTCTTTTCATGCGAGGTCACAAAAGAAAAAATAACAAAAAACATAATGCTACCGTAATTCAATCACACAAATTTTATAAAGCTTACCACAATCTTATTTTTTACATTTTTTTAAATACCAAATAACAGGACATTTAATTTGAGGAACACTTTTTTTCCCCTCAACTAACTTAAAACTCAATATTGATACAGTGGCTTGAACAGACATGAACCTCAGAGAAAAGCACAGGTGTGACCTGCTGGAGAACAGTAAGTGCACCAGCAGAGGGCATTTCACGCCACCATTTCTATAGCAGTACAGCAGCAATGGTTGCCAGTAATCAGTGTATCTAAAGGGGGAACTGCAGTCTCACTTTCTCAGATAGGCTATTAAATCTTGCTAACAAAATGAATTAACTGATTGTACCGCAAAATTTTACAAGTTCGGAATTAGGCTCAGAATCATGAACTTTGTGAAAGTACTGTCTAGTACTAGTTGGTTAGTGGCTTAACAGGACCACATTAACAGCTTCTCCATGTCCTCAGGTGCAGCTGCTTTCACGAGATCCTGAAAACCTACAGACACACCAGCCTCTCCAGGAACAGGAATCAACTCCCCTGCCCTAGAGTTTCACACTACTTACCCATCTTTCACTTACTAATCATGGCACTGGCTTTGAAGATGACAAATTTCAGTCACTTGTTTTATAATGCATCTATAATTTACACTAACCCACTATCATTTGTTCCAGAACTAAAATGGATAAATCTCTAAATATAAATATTTTCACCTCTGTAGTTTAGAGCCTGACCTAAAATAACTGTGGATGTGAAATGCACCTGCATATTAGATCTCCTGCACCCAGTGTTATTTGGAGGCTGTCTGAAACTGAAGATGGAAACAGGCTGAAGTTGTGATATTCGCTCCTAATCCTGGGGAGCAACAGGCCAGCAAGTTTTATGTGGAACTTATCTTCATCAATGACGAAAGACCAAGTCAACAGTCATTTCAGAGATTTAAGCCATTAAGAGAAATGTGGAATAAAAACCAGAACCAGGAATGCATCATCGCTGAGCTACAGCATCCTACAGGCAGAAAAGCCCCAGGCTCAGAGAAGACCGTACTATACTGCCTCTAGACAGACATTCGTATAAGTACTAGATCCTGGTGTAGTTCATAAACTGACTGATTTTTTTTTCTTTGGTATTGTTTTGACTGAGTTTGACTAATCACTGACTGGACACACCTGGCAGATCACCTTTAGTGCTGGCAAGTGCAGAGTGTCACATGCAGGCAGCAAGAGCAAATTACATGAGATGAGAAACACCAAGCCTGAAGAAGCCACTTATGAAAAAGGCTTCTGTTGGATGTTGACTGTTTTCTAGATAATATGAGGAAGCAACAGAAAATGGCAAACCGTGTTAGGATACACAGTTAAAAGTGCAGAACTGAAATGGAAGAACACAGTTTTAATATTGTAGAATGCACAAATGAGATCTTAGATTAGAATATTGCATTAAATTTTGCTTACTTTGCAAAGGATTACGGATTTGTGCTTTGGAATGGATCCACTAAATAGTAACACCTTTCCTCCAACACACATGTACCCAAACAATCCTGGCAACAACAAATGTCCTACAATGAAAAAGAAATCTAGGCAACTGTTTTTAAGAACTAGAAAGAATTTAGAAGGGCGACAAGATTAAAACATGTCAACGCCTCAAAGACACAAAACCCACCCATGGGACGTCTTCCAATTCAACAGTGAGTCACGGAACAAGTGTACAAGTGGGAACTAAAAGGACATGGATGTAAAACAAGCCACCCCGCCATGCTGCCGAAGCAGATACCATCTCTTCAGATGATGAATGAGGTCCTCGGGTCAACTTACTACCAGCAACCAAAAGGGCTAGATGGGACAGAGACAAGTGGCCTTCTTGCCACTGTAGTCTCTTATATTCTCCATCTTCTGAGTATTCCTAGAGCTCCAAAAATTGAAGACTTTTACATTTCTCTTATATGTAGAGGGGAAAAAAAACACCCTTTTTTTACCCCTTTTAGACAGCATAAAAACCCACTCTGACCTCAGCTAGTTAATCATGAAGTCCAGGAGCTAACTCTTGTAACGATCAGCTGGTGGCGAGGTTAACTGTGGAGGGCAGTTGTGACAGCGGAGGTCAGGGCTCTCTGAGGGAATCGCGGATAATCAGTCACAATAGATAGATAGATAGATGCCGTCCCCATCTATACCCTACTGGTGATGTGCTGCTGCTCAGCATGAGAGGAACCGCAGGTCCAGACACTGGGTATCTGCGCTTGGCTGACGAGTCAATGATGCAAAAGCTACCATCTGTGTGATTATAACTGAACACCCATAAATCAGAATCCAAGACATTTTTAAATCGTTTATTTTAACAAAGCTTTTCATTTAAGGTAAAAGCTCTTCAGGTTTTTTTAGACAATCAAATCTACCAGTTAAGGTGCATGGATAAGCACACAGCATTCTTTATCTAACTCCATAATTAATCATTTCCACAACTCAACACAACCTGCAGAAGATTACCACAGCATTTAAGTACAATCCTCACGTTTTATAAAGCCCCGGTTTTAAAATAAAATCATTTTTATAAAAGAATAAAAAAGGAGGAAAAGGTTCTGCCTGAAAATTCTCTAACACAGCGATCACTGATAAAGCAGACTTCAAATTCATCCCAGAAGTTAGATCACTGCATTGAGACTGAAATATTGGGTAAAAATCACACTTCAGGAGGTATAAACAATTTGAATATTTCAGAAATAAACATTCTGACCTCCAAACACTACAGTCTTAATGGAGGACAACCTTTTCATCTTCAGCAGCTGGAATTTCCCGGTTTACACGTTCAAATGAGAATAAAAGCATATTGCCATTGCTCTACCATTAGGCCTGTTGTAACCTGTACCGTCCTTCTCAACTGTAAGTATTTCCCCAAGCTGTTCTATTAAAAATTAGGCTGAACCTGGTTGTCAACACTCTTGAGTCTGCCCAACCTGACTGACACCCAAAGTTGGCCCAAAAAATGACTAATTACCCATCCATCCATTATCAGAAGGCCTCCAATCCCCAGGTATTGATTTTCTTTATGCCGCAGACCGGGCATGTTGAAGGAATAGCCAGCGCGCCGAGATAATGCGCGACAGGAGGAATGACGGATGAACCGGAGGTCAAAGGGGACATGTCAGCACAGCTTGGCAGCAGGGCTCGGCGCTGCGCCACAGGGCTGCCTCCCGGGCAGGTTCAGCTCAATGTCAGGACCTTTACCGAGACCGCAGCGCCGCGGAGACGGCCAATGCCAGGCATGGCGCTGAAGGCCCAGCGCGGCGCAGCCCCTGACCCGCGTCAGCCAGCCTGGCCAGAGCCGCCGGACAGCTCAATCCACGGCAGCCAAATGGCAAAGGGGCAATTTATCACCCGAGCTAGGACAGCCAGCTGCTACTATGATTTATGATGACACCGTCCTGACAGCTCTTCTCCATTCAGCACAGATTTCCCTCTCCGCCGCCCTTCAGTAAACTCTTTTTCCCCAGAACGCGTACAATTACGACCCCAACCCACTGCAATGGAGCTTTTCCAACCCTACAGGCAGCGGCTCACAAACACCCCGTAGTGACCCGCAGGTTTTCAGCTGCATCTGTGTCTGTATATAAGAAATATACCTCAATACTTCAAGCATGCACCCTTAAAATACATAACTACACTTAATTAAGATAACAGCAAATAAATTAGGTCATGAATCTGCAACAACGTGTTTGGGTCTTCACCTGCATTCACAGCTGAGGCAGAAAGACAAACACTGCAAGGATCAGTAGTTGGGTCAGTGTTCATGACTGTGATAAAGTTAATTTTAGATGCATCTACTTTTCACATTATCTACATTTTCTAGAACTAGCTAGCTCATAAACAGCACTTGTACACTTAAAACTACCGATAGAGGTATAACTGTCCAGGTAGGAATACATAACTCTCACAGAAACTGTTTCCTTGAATATTTTAACAAACCGATACCAATGAGACAGGAAATGTACAATCTGATTTGATTTGCATCACAATGATTTCAGATTTAAAAAAAATGTATCTGCAATGCAAATGAAAGTTTCAGTTTCCAGGTTATGCATTCCTCTTACCTTAGGTACCGTGTTTATTATGGTCCCATGTAACTCAGGACATTTTGGGAAAGGGGATAATATTCTTAATAATTCCTTACACTTACACAGCACTTTACTGGACGCTCCACTCAAAGCGCTTTAAAGGTGATGGAGACTCCCCTCCACCAGCACCAGTGTACAGCCCCACCTGGATGATGCGATGGCAGCCATAGTGCGCCAGAACACTCACCACACACCAGCTCTCAGTGGGAAGAACAGTGATGAAGCCAGTTCAGAGAGGGTGATTGTTAGGAGGCCATGACTGGTAAATGCCAATGAGGAAATTTGGCCAGGACACTGGGCTAACAACCCTACTTTAATAAGAAGGCCTAGTATTTTTAAAGACCACAGAGAGTCAGGACATCAGTTTTGTCTAATCCGAGAGACGCCTGTTTTACAGTATAGTGTCCCCATCACTATACTGGGGCATTAGGACCCACAAAGACCTCAGGGTGAGCGCCCCCTGCTGGCCCCACTAACACCAGTTCCTGCAGCAATGCTTCTTTAACAATCGCTTATCCGAAGGCTATGAGTGTTTTTGAACGGAGCTGGAGAGTTCACGGCTGCTGGGTGTTGTGTACTGCAACCCGGTGGACTCGGGACCTCCGATCCCTCCCCCTGTCCTCGGGGAATCACCCAATCGCCAATCGATTTACTCGTCGACAAAATATGATTAGGACTCTTTTTTTGACCTACCGCACAACTGGAGAAGACGCCATCTTTTCTTTTCCATGAAAGTGCAAATTATCAGCTCCATTTTCGGCTGCCAAACAAAGGGCGTACGGACAAAACGGCAGAGGAAGACAAACGCCTTCATATACACTCACCAAGTAGAATATGCAAAACTATTTATAAACCCTATAGTTTACTAAAAGATTAGACTGTCGCCATCTTAGAACTTGACTATTATTAGACAATTACACCTTTCATGTAGACGATAGTCACATGGACTCGGAAAGTTCACCAGGAAAAACGGATTTATCTAAACAGTCTTATATCATTCCGACTTCGACGTATTTAAAACGTCGACTGAAATACGAAATATGATTATGCAAACAAAAGAATTGTGCTGTGGAAATTTTCAACGACCCTCGGACCGAGGCCGATACTGTTAGAAAACCCACGCTGAACTGCAATATACTATAGAAAATATGTAGAGAATAAAACCACAACCCTGTTGCCACTGGATTATCGTCAAGTGATCTTTACCTGTTCAAAGCAAAAGAAGCAAGTAGGCCGGAGAGACACCGCATCCACTCCCAGCCCACTGAAAAAGCACACGTAGCCTTTGTCCCCACTTCCGCTTATACTGGCGGTTTCAGGACGTCAGCGGAAGTGCTTGGGGCTTGGCCGGTGTGCATGCTGGGTAATATACTCTGTTCCTACAAGGTTTGTTTAGCTGCGATTTATACAGTCAGTAGTTAAAAACTAAACTGTGCCTTCAGAGAAAATAGTCGAATTTCAAGCGTGTTATTAACATTAATTTTATGTTTTTATTTATTTATGCCTGATGTCAACAACGAAAGAGCTGGAGACTGTGTTTTAAAAGCAGAAGCGGAAAAATAAATGCTCTGTGTCCCAAAATGTATGTTTTTCTTTCGTGCAAATAGAAAAGGTTTAAATGATATATAGAAAAAAGAAAATATATATAAGCCTTACATACAAAGCCCCCAACACCTACACAGCACTTTGACTTTCAAAAGTGCTAAATCCATCAGTTCATTTCTAACTGCTTTATCCACGTCAGGACGCGAAGCCAGTCCTGGCAAGCAAGGTAGTTATTGATCAATCACATGCTAATTTCGAGTCCAGATTTGGAACCGCTTTTTTTAAAAGTTTCACTAGTTGCTGGTTCATATGCAGCTGTGCGGTGGGTGATGTGGTTCTCGGGACCATTTATGTCAATCCATTTATCGGTGGCGCCCCCTGTCGCACTAATCATGCTAGGATTTATTTCAGTCCCCGGGTACATCAATAGTGTGTGTGGCACTTCATACAGTAAAGACAAAAACACCAAAAAAAGAAAATAAAATGAAAATATCATTTAACAATAATAAGGAAATATAGAAATAAAAACAAGGAAAAGGCAGACGTTATCTGAGCGCTTGAGTAAACAGATTCGTGTCTTTAGTCTAGATTTAAAAACTAAAAGAGTTCGCATTACTCGGAGAGCTGGGAGTGAGTTCCCGTTTTGTGGAGTTAGGCGGCTGAAATCTTGAGACGTTTGTACCTATAAAAAAGTACTACTGTAAAAGATGTGCCTCAGCTGAAGCTCCGCTTGTTACACACGGAGTAATGATAGATGATAAGCCTTGTGGGGATCTTGTATGCAGGTATTTAAAAATGAGAAGTAACATTTTGAACTGTGGTCATCTGGCCTTGAACGCCTTAGAAGCTCAGCAGCGGAGTTTTGAATCATTTGAAGGTCATTATGGTGACCGTTTTCATCTATAGACACTCTCCGCGTACGAGATGAATGCTGTTTCGAATCAGTTTAATGATCTTTGACTGCGAAAACAAATTCCCATCTTAATTTATTGCAGTTCTCCGTATCATCGTACATTGAAAAGTGTAGGTTTTTTTTTGTATTTATGAAACTGCACCTCACAAGAGCAACTGCTGACAGAGAGTACAAGTCATTTTAATTTGCCACTGCTAATGAGTGGAAACTCCGGAGTGTAAATTGAAGCAGTCAACCCTGGTATCTTAGGGTGTTTTCAGTTGTAAAAATCTTTCGTACTTGACAATTACTCTTGTTAACACATCATATCTTAATTTTATTTCTCTGATTCGTCTTTTGCGTGTCGGTGGCGTGAGCCTCCTGACTACGTCCTTGCTGTAAAGGAGGATTAGTTATTTGGTTAAATAAAGTTGACGATGATGACTGTTGTTAATAATAATAATATAATGGCAAAACAGAAAAATAAATCATCAGAATTACATAATTGAAAGCTTTATGTGGATAGATGTGTGTATACCATGAGGTTGTCGTCAAAATACTGTATCCCCAAAACACTGCTTATGTAGCAGAACCACACCTATTGACAAATTTCCTTGTTTGTTTTGCAGTGTGGTTTTAACGCTTTCTTTTGAGAAAAAGTGAACTGCTAAATAGCGATCGAACATTAAGTGATCACTCTTGTCTTGAGGAGGGTTAAGAGTGCTATCAGATATACAGGGAGTGGATTCTTCGACAAACAGAAACCCAGTGGACTCCCCATTATCCCCACAGGATTGCAGACGCCTTTCCTCTGTCGCTGTGTGATCTCCTCACGAAGATATAACGTTATTACTGTCATATATACCCCCCTGAGGCATACAGCTAGAAAAACTAAAATGGTACAGCAGACGTCTTAGAATGTCTTTGGCGAGTGAATACAGCACCTCTTCACAAATCAGTCAGCTTTCAGCAAATACTTTTGACTTTGCATATACTTGCTGTAATCCTACCATGAGTCATAATTTGCTGACATCACAAGGTTGTTCACAATCTTCTTTAAACGCTGACAATACTAACAAAAGTGTTGCATGCAACAGAGGGTATATTTAAAACAAATAATTATGATAATGTTACCAGTTTTCAACGTATTACAGTCCTATGTTCAGACCACAGATCACAAAGTTAAAAGGTTATGGACTTTCTTTTCCTGTATTATGACTAATCACATTTCCTATACTTAATTTAATTAATTTATATTAATTAAGGTGAAACTGAAATAAGAGCCCAGAAGTGAAATGGATATTGTTTCATAACGCATGTTTCATCTCTGAATGTTCTCGGCAAAATGATGTTAGTATAATCACACAGCAGAGATCCCTTTCATTGTGGATGTGACTATCAGACGTTATTTTCTCCTCGTTTTATCAGCTCTTCTGCCGACAAACTCTTCTTTCATTTTTCCCATCATGGACTGAACTCACAGATCGGCTGGGCCCACTTTCAAGTCCGCTAATAAAAAAGCGCTCGATACTGTAGGTATCAAACACGTGTATGTTAAGTGAAGACGCTTCAAACAGTGCACTTAAAAAGCTTATATACTAATTAATATCAATATGACATTAATCATTCATATTTATTTACTTCTCACAATCCACAAATATTTTAATGTGTTTCGATCCGTTTCCAAAACTTTGTATTCTGCAGGGTAATTGTAAACGATTAATGAACATAAACACGCGTCAGTCAATTTAGAAACTGTATAGTCCACAGATCTACCCTATAGGACCAAATCACATCATAGGATAACAGTCCATTCAGTTGTTGAGCAAACAAAAAAAGAAAGCAAGACTAATTACAATTCATTTACAAATGTGTACAATCTTTCCTAAATCATTTAAAATCATTTTAGATTTTTTGCTGTCCAGAATGAAATTTTAAATAGTCGATCTAATCATATTAAATTGCCTGAGGACACTGATAAGCTTAAAAATAAGGTATGCAAAATCATATCCATAGGTTTATAGGAGGTCTACTCTATTGTAAGCAATGTATTTTTCAGCAACATACTGTATATCGAACCACAATTTATTTTGGTCCATTATTTAATTAGGTGATTCTTCTATGAATTTATTCTCAATGTTTAATTTTAAGAAGTTGTCACTTGATGCAATATGTATTTACCTAAATAAAAATTGAAGGTGTGTTGTGGCAGTTTAGTCTCTGAAGTTGTTTTTGCCTTATTGTTTTGTCCAGATTTGAGCTCATATTTCAGCCTGTGCAAACATAAAACACTTCTACAGTGTACATACTGTCTGAAGACTTGGTTGTGTAGAAACGTTGAACAAAATGAAAACAAAAACAGTTGTGACTAACACAAGAGTCACAAACTCTAAACACATATGCAGGCTTCAAAATATTTTAAAGAGTACAAGTAAATAATTGCAGTTCTGAAGGCAATTTTAATGATTTATTTGGTAATTATTTTAGACTCTTATGGCAATAAATGATCAAATCTGATTAAAGTAAAGAAGTCTTCCAGTGGTTACAAAAAATGCAGATTGGTGTTTTTAATTCATACATACAGTATTTAACTCTCTATTTTTTAGCTTTTCACAAAGCAAAAATGACAGGTTACAAGTTATTAGACAGAGCATACATTTTATTTCTTTTGTTCATTTTCACTTGAAACTGTAACATTGTATATGAAAGCTATATGGAAGGTGAGGTCATAGCATCTTCATTGTGAAGGTTCCTGTGTTATACTGTTCACGCTGAGTGACATTGGAAAGTGATGTCATGATCGGAAACCACAGCTGATCATTTCAGGCAGTGCTGGTTCAGAAGACCCCCTATCCTCCTCTACACAAAGCCTTTGGTTCAGTAAATAAAGAGGCAGTCTGATTGCCTGGCATGCAGCTCGAAGCACTCGGAGACAGACTGTGTATGAGGCCAGGGCCTTCGGCTTTTCTTCATGTTTGAACTGTAAATTCAGTTTATCCTTACGATGGCAATTCATGAAAAGGAAAGCCACCTGAGATTAGCAGATACCGTGACAGAACTTGAGGGTCAAAATTTGGGGGCGCAGAAATTGACTTCCAAAGATTACCCTTCAATGATAAACTGAAGAACTCATTTACTGAAGAGCTGTTCATGCCCTTACACAAACAGAACCTTTAATATCATGTAGCACTTTTTGACTAATTGGCAAAATGTTACACACCCCTGTTCTCTTCATTTTAATGGCAATGAGTTTATATTTAACAGGTTTTCTTGTTATCTTAAACAGGAAATAATGCTGCACACTAGCATTTTTTCTGAACTTATTGCATTAAATCCCAACTTTAAAAAAAAAAGAATCTTAGACCTGAAGTTTTAATAACACAGAGAAAAAAAAACACTACAAATGAAACTTCTGACAGGATAACTGCTTACATATGTCTTCTTACCAGTATTTTAGATTCTTTTCATATACTGTAATAATGAATGTGTTGAAAGAGTTAATTACATATTCATGTCGTTTGTGAAAGGACGTGAATACAATATGAGATAATCTGTTTAAGTGGTAGAGCTTAAGAGACAGAACACAAATTGTCTACGTAGCAGCATTTGAATCAGTTGTTTTTATTTCTTCGTTTATTATCTAATAAGCCATTTGCTGTATTTACATCTATTCACAAGAAGAATCATGGGAGACATTAGGATGGTCCCACCAGTATTGTTGGGAATCTGACAGACCACTTCACTTGACAAATGTTTCGTTATTCAGACATGCATTTAGTGCAAATGTTTTAACAGAAAGTGCATTGCCAACCAGTCAGGCATGAAAGCTCATTACTTTAACAAATGGAATTTTTTAAAGCACAATAGTTCTTCAAGAATCTGTAACAAGTACAGAGTTGTAGGACTTTCTGGAAAAGAAAATTCAACAGCTTTACAGGAGCTTTACATAAAGCAAATTACATGGACTCAGACAGAATGGCATATTTTCAAACAGTATTTACAAAACGGTCAAATATATTAATGTACTATATGCTCAAGCTTGTGTTCCTAGCGTCCTTCTCACTCCCCAGCCATCCCAGAAAAAGCACTAACCTTCATTCTTCAAACTTCAGTTTCTGAAAGCAGTTTCTCTTCAAGATTAAAAAAAAGCTTTGTTGAAGAGATACAATTTATGCAAGAGACCCAATATGAAAAGTATTTAACACAAATACATTTCCCATGTAATCCATGTATACAGTTCACTTTTTCCACACGAAGAAACACCATGAGAGACCACCCCCCTGCAGTTTTGAGAAACCGCCTGTCTGCGGTTGTCGCTGCAGCAGGGCGACGGCCGCACAAAATTGAAATAAACCTTTTTCTTCCTCCGCCATAACAAAAGGTGCACATGTTGCGTGAGTATTAAACGCCGAACCGTCACGGGAGAGTGTTTAAGCCTGAGAAGCAGATGACGGCTCTCCCTGATTCGAACCCTCGCCCTGACCGGAACTACTCAGGAACTGTCCTGTAGCCCCGATGTACAGTCGAGAACGCATTGGCCACTTCTGCAAAGAAAACAGGACAAATATGAACCCTTCTTCCATTAATATGATCTGTGCTGTATTGAGCTCATCCTTGCTTCGCGTATTTCTTGAGAGAAACATGACCAAATTCATTACAGAAAACTGGATAATTTGTGATGAAGCAAGATAACTGTTCTCCAGAAGCGTCGCAGCCTAGATATGCGAATACAGCGAATGGAAGTTTTAACAATTTTATTTTGTTGTTTCAGATTTCGTGTCAGTTTTTTTTGTCGCAGATACGCCACTGTTACGAATCATCAAATACTTCAGCTGCACCTCACTTAAAAAGGACTATGGCTTGCTTACTATAAACAGCAAAATAAACAGTTTTGAGTTATTTTTGTGAGTGGAACGTAATACGGACGACTTCTACATTTACACATAAATATTAGGAGTACACCTCCAATTTATTTTAAAAATTAGTCAGAATTAGCAGATTGTAAAGATTTTATTTTGTTTGCTATATTATTTATTGAATAAAAACAGCGTTTAATTTAGCTATCCTTACTAAATGTACGCAACATTTCATTTAACACAATGAGGTAGTGGTTTAAGGTTTAATCTGAATGCCGCGACATCAAAAATCACTGAAATGTTATACAATTCAGTTAAAACGTTTGCACAATTCAGAGTAACGAAATATTTTCCGCTTTAATACCATAGCATACAGTATATTTGTTTTTAGGTCATTGCGGTTTTAATTCAAAATCTCTATCACATACGTTTCATTTATTTAAATTATTTAAAAAAATATATTGTTTTATCCTGAGCTTGATCTGCAAGCAAATATTTTTCTCATGTTTACCCCACTGATTAAAACGGCAGACAGAATGAAGTTGTTAAAGGTAATTATTGTAGGCCTAACAAGTAAACAACAAGTATCATGGCTTGCTTACTATAAACGTCTACATTTGCTATAAACATAAAATAAACATTTTTGAGCTCATTGTTGTGACTGGAACGCAAATTGGACGACTTCTGCATTCCCACAAATAAACATGAGCCGTACACCTCCAATTTACAAAAGAACAGCCATTTTTAAGATAGAAAGTTTAAAGGGCATTTGCGCAAGGTCTCATTTATAGATGGCAATGCATCTGAAATGTACAGTATGTTTTATTAAAACTGACTTGAGAACACGAACACGTAGCCCAATATCTTAAACCACATGAGCCATTGGTTACAACATTTAAACAGTTTGACAGTAACTACACTGTTACGTTATCATAAACGGCAATAATTCCGTTAAACGACTAGATTTGAGATTACGGTGTTTGTTTTTTACACTACGGCTTTCTTTTTTAATAGAAATAAATTCCCTTATGTTTACTTACTTTCACTGGGTGGAGATAGCCGTCCCCTTTCAGCGAGTGTAAAAGTTCAGCTTGTCTGGTTCCTTCTCCTTCGTCCATCCCCTCTTCCTGGAGGGTTCTGGTCAGGTGCGCGATGTACGTTGTGGCCAGTATCAGGACATCTAGTTTGGACAGTTTGGTGTCCGGGGGAACGGAGGGCAGAGTCCTTTGTAGCTCCAGGAAAGCGTGCCTGAGCGTCTGCACCCGGCTCCTCTCCCGAGCCGCGTTGGCCGCGGCCGGTCTCCCCCGGCCGCCCAAGCTGCCAGGCCGGACCACCCTGGAGGGGGTCAGCGCCCCTGAGCGCCGCCTGTCCGGGGACAAGAGGGCGTCCCTGTCGGGGCTGGGGCTGGAGCTCGGGCTGGAAGATGGGCTGTCATCCATGACTGTTAACGAATCATTCCCGCTATCCATAAGGAGTGCGTGCCTTCCAACCATAGGGACGCGGCACCTACTGCAAACCTGCGCAAGAAAACCCATTTGGACTTAATTATGCGACACAACTTGAATTATTATAACTCGGTCGCACTTCCTTTATGAGGAAAGTGTTGTAAAAAAACGTGAGAGATGTATATACCTTTTAGATTTACATATTAATATATATAGTTATGACTATTATTCAAAAACTCTAGTTGAAGTGAAATAAATGTATTTATATATATATATTTATTTCTCATAGCCTCCTTGACCTCTACTTTAGATTTTCAGGCACATTGTGGATTTTAAGAAAATGTGACCTATAATCTTCAGAAGTGCCGTTGGTTTAGGTAACGTAGTATTGGATTAGATAAACTTTGCAAAACACATTTATGTATCTATACTACTAGCATTTCATAGAAAATGAAAAAACATAACCTGCATAAAAGCTTCTTTCATGGCGTCACTTTCGTCAAAAATTGATAAAAGACTCAAAATGTAAATGTGTGAGGTTAAAGACTTCGTTAGGGAATCAAAAACACGCATACTGCGGTGAAAAGGTATACTTTAAGAGCAATAAAACGACGCTTTTCAGGCCCATTCTCCAGTACAGTATATAATCTGTGTCTTAACTCTTCTTTTTGTGAGGCTATAATAAGTTTTCGAAAGATTCTAGTAACACAAACCGCCTCCGGTGGGTTCTGTTTTAAACCGCACTAACTCGAGAAGTATTTATTATACGTTTGTTATCTGTCATTTAGTTGGACGTGGATCAAGGCTTACCTTTTAACGTTCCAGATTGTAGTGCTCTCCGAAGACGTTGCATGCAGTCTGCGAGAGTTGTGTCGGCGCGCAGAGCCCCTCGGATTCCCCTATTCCAGCTCCCGGCCGAGAAAGCTTTATAACTCGCCGGCGGCTGATGTGGAGGAGAAGTGCCGCGTCCCTGCGTTCGCGAGTCGAGATCTCACCTGAATGAGTGTGTCGGTCTCTGGAGCCTCTAATTTAATGGAAACACAAAGAGTTGACAGCTCTTTCACTCTGGAGTAATTAATCACAACCTCTTAAGTCTCTCTGGCAGCAGGAGAGACACCCAGCTCCGCTCCTACCCCAACTTATTTTTACTGGAGAATGGAGACCCATACAGAACGCCAGAGGCATTTTTGAACTGTATACCACCTACATTCTGCGTAGATATTAAACAAGACTTAAGCGCACGAATGACAGGCAGGGAAGACCAATAACTAATGTGAAATCACGTTATTTTTATCTTAGAAATGAAAACTCCTATTTCATGAAACCATTCCTTCCTACTTTAACTTATGTGTAATAATGTAACATATACTGTAACTACAAAAAAACATTTGAATAGGCGTCCACCTAATCCATTATATTATACCAATAATCCTATACTTTCTTAATATTCAAAGGTATAGGCTGCTTATAAAATGTTAAAATAAATCGGATGTGGACTACTAATTTATTCTTACAGTATAAAGCATTATTTTGACAATTTAAATGTAAAAAAAAACAATACAGATACGCGGCTTAAGAAACATTGAGTGGATGCATATTCTCATTGCGCTGTCACACCGTTTAATTTCCACAGTAACAGCTAATAAATAAATCCTAAACTGCAATCAACATTCATGCATGAGGAAATTCTTGCGAGCCTCCTAAATTAATCACACTGATTTCCAATGTCCGCTAAGGGGGATCTCGGCAAATTAATGAATGGAATTATTCATAACATGTATATCTCAGACTGTTCTTAATAAACATTGTTTTTGTAAGGATGAAGTAACAGCATTGCTCCAGGGCACTAATTATAAAGAAAAGCAAAAAGGTTAAGTAAGCTTTTTTCCCTTAATTACTCTACGTCTTTCAGAGGTTGTACGCTCGCTTTCTTTTTGGGGTTCCATCAAAGGTACGCGGGGAATTACGTTCTGTGTGTAATAATATAACAACCTATTTAACTAACTCCCTGTCTTTCAACGGCCATTATTCTCACATCATTTGCCCGACCTGTCAAGGCAGTAACCCAAACTACATGTGATGTAGACAATATACATTGTTGCCACAGATAAAATGAAACACAACTGTGAAATCTTAACATTTCATTTTTTTTTCTACAGCGTAATAGATCGGAGCAGCGCGGAGTAATTCGTTTAAGATTTCACGATTTCTTTTGGAAAATGATTGATTTTCATTGCATTTTTTAAAAAAAGAGGTTAAAAGAAATGTAAAAACAGAATGTTTTAATCCGATTTGATATCGCTAGTTCCGACTGAACCAACCCTCGCCTTCGCTGTACTGTTAAAAACGTAATTGGGATAAATTTGCTTAATATTCACATTAAGCTCAAACCTCGGAACAAACATCTGAATTATTATTTAATTAATCTGGAACATGGACTAACACAACGCTCATTTGACCATTTTACTCAAAACAGACCATTTTACATTTAAACAGACCACGCATGAAAACTACTGTTTGCTTAAGCAATGAGAATCCGAACTCGAGCACTCCCGATCAAAGGTAGGTTTTGTAAACATTACTATTTACCACTAAATTAATACGGGTAAAGCCAAAAAATAAACGAAAGGCGCACACCACAATGTGCGTGTAACAACTGACTCGATATACAAACGACATTGTTGACAACACAGATCAGATACGTTAACTATGTGGTAAACAGTCTGCATCAGAAATATAAACATATTAAACATATTTTTATTATGACGTCGTCGGCTATATATTTTTTCTCATTAAAGTATATGTATCGAATGTATATTATTATTATTATTATTATTATTATTATTATTATTATTTGGGACAATGCTTGGCAGTACAGGGGCGCGGGGTTCAGTTCGGATCTGGGGTGCTGTGTGCGTGGAGTCTGTTTGTTCTCCCTGTGTTCAAGTAGGTTTTCCTTCCGTAGCGCACTTACCGATACCTTCATCGGTTGACCTGGCCCTGGTGTGGTGTTTCCGTATAAATCCCGTATAATACCGTTTTGCACTCCAGCTCTCCTTCGACCTCGTACTGGTTATGCCGATAATGCGGTTCTAAACTGTATTTTTATTTTCATTAAGGTGAAGCTAAAATATGACTTAGTATAATTCGTTTACATTACACTGCAGACGGAGTACTTAACATTAACCAGTCATTGGATTGGTTTGCTATTTTTCTTCACTGTGGTACAGCACAAGTAGAATATTCTTTTAAACCCTAATGACTACATTATTCTTAAAGGAACAAGTAATACGTTTATTCCGTGCTGAAAAGAGAAGAAAGAAGACACAACGTTTCGGCCTTGGAGCCTTCTTCAGGTGTGAGAAAGACCACACCTGAAGTCTTTCTCACACCTGAAGAAGGCTCCGCGGCGGAAACGTTGTATTTTCTTCTCATTTTCAGCACGGAATAAACCTATTACTTGTTCCCTTGCAGCCTTAGCATGCTGACGCAGCTACCCACCTGAACATTATTCTTAAATACACATTGACTTTAACCTGGGCTTTGTTAAATGTTCTTTCGCAAGAATTAAATTAATATTTTCCCCCAAACCTTATTTCAGTAGTTCTAACAAACAAATGATTTTTGAAAAGTCAAATAATGAAAAACAGGTTTAATTTTTTTAATCCAAGACTTTTTTACTGTCTTGCCTGCTTGGTGACCGTTTTTTTTTTTCTGTAACACGACATTTTTCCTGTGATAGTGAGCCACCCTTCTGTATTGGAATTATCCAGGCGACTGTCACCTCTGGACGGAGGTCTGTTGCCCTGGTTTACCGCAAGAGCGCTGGGAACGCGACTCTTCATTATAGCACCCCTCAATCTCTAGAGAGAAAACGAGTTCGAACCACAATCAACACCTTTACCAACAGTCAATCAAATTAATATACTCTCTGTCATTTTGTAAAATTATGTGTAGTATACTGTAGTTTACATGGAGTCACATTAGACGCAGTTTATTCAAAATATATATTTTATAAAACTAATAATTGTATAATAATAAAACTATTTATAAAACTAATTATTTTATAACAACTAATAAAATATATATTTTGAATTGAGGTGAAACAGTAATAAGGTAATACACACAAATATCCCTAGTTTCAATCTCAAAATACTTACACTGGAAAATACCTCCAGGAACACGGAAACTGAAAGAACAGGTTTCAGGAATTTAACATAACGAACGGAAAGACGCACACACACGCGCTTGTTACCAAAATAAGTTTATTTTGGGCTTTAAATCGGATTACATCACCTCATGCTGGCACTGAACAAACACAATGTTACAATTAACAACTGGAAATTTACAGGACAGACACAATAAAGACATTGAAAGGGTACCAAATGATTTTCTCAATTATGATCAAATTTAATTCTATTTCATGGGCCTCGGGACGTTTTGTGTGAATTCTGCATCTATGTTTCTTATTGCATTTTCAGAAGTTGATATTCAACATTGCCCTGTATGCATGATGGCCTACGTGTAACTCCTATGAGAAGTTGCTGGATTCCGACATTGTGTCTGGATAAAATAATAAGGAATCAGAGCACAATAGCTCCACTATCCCCTCTCCATACAAGCATGTACAGTACAGCACAACACAACAAGTAGCACTGCAAGCTGTCACACAGCTACATGACTGAGGACCTTAGGGGACTCTGCTACATCCTGGAGTGGAGCTGCACTCTTCGAATTCTTCACACTCTGACATCTATGTGTGGAGAAGAGCACAGAGTGATATCCATCAGTATTACAGATCATTAGTGTTACATTTTTAGCATTACAGTGCACAACAGTAATTGACATTAGCACATTAGCCTGTCTTGGAACGAAACATTTATTAATCAAAACTATAAACTCCTACGGTTTACAAATAAGAATAGCATTGTTTTGACAGAAACAAACCGGAATAACCAAATGCCAATTACTTGCCTTGTCATTCCTAAAAAAAATAAAGCTAACTATTCTTTAAGTGATTTAATGGTTGAATATCAAATATATGTTTTGAATATCATACATTTGTGAAGTATTCACAAAAGCTAAGTGTCCCTTTAGTTAGTAAGGAGATATTATATCCTGTTTGACAAATGTCACCTACACGTTCATTAAACAAAACAACAGGAACATGCAAGTGTTTTCCTTGGCCTTCAACCAAGCAAAATTCTGAACAAGTAATTCATATCATTCAACGGCCTGTGTAATTCCTTTTAGCTCTGAGGCTGGGTTTATTTGTCTGTTTGTTTATATTGTCTCAATACTCATTAATTACAAGCAATGTAAAATTCTCACGTTTTAATTATGCATTACTTATAAATGATTTCCACTGAGATATGCTTATTTATTTTATATTATAATATAAACCTACCCTAAAATATCAGGATATATCAGCTACAGTGATTTATAATAATATTATTAAAAACTAATTAATTACAAATGAAGAAAACAGGATATTCGTTTACTTTATGAAATAAAGATAAAGACACTTTTTTGCCACCTTCAAAAAACAATGATAACCATTTACAGAAGAAATAACTATAAAGGTTTGTTGTAGCATAAGAAAAGTCCATACTAAAGAATGGTGTGTCAGCAAGGAGTGGTAACCACAGCTCTGGACCCCTGGACCCACATGTGCAGCATACCGTCAAAACATCTTTTTTTCACCTCAGAAATATCGCTAGAAAATGCCCTATGTTATCACTAACTGTGGCTGAAAAGCTGATCAACTCATTTGTGTTTTCCCGAATTGACCACTGTAATGCTCTACTCGCTGGGGTATCTAAATCTACATTGAACAAACTGCAGTATGTCCAAAATTCAGCAGCCAGAATCCTGACCAGGTCTAGTGCAAGTGATCACATTACTCCTATCCTGGAGTCCTTGCACTGGCTTCCTGTCAAATTCCGTGTGCAGTTTAAAATCCTCATGCTCACCTAAGGCTCTGCATGGCTTTGCACCTCAGTACCTGTCTGAACTATTATCGCCCTACTCCCCACCTCGCAACCTTTGCACTTCTAATTCTGAGTCTACACTCTGTGGGTGACAGGGCCTTCTCCCGTTATGCCCCCAAGCTCTGTGGTTTGGATCCTAGAGCCTTTTTTCTCTCCACTATAGATGGGTAAAATCTGGTAGTCTGCATCTAAATGAGAGATAAACAGTACCAGCACTGAGGAGCCCTTCATTCACACAAGTGTTTAGTTACCCAATCAAACATATTACAGGCACACCTTAATCATCTTAACAATTGATCTCAGTTTTCCAGCAGATTTTAAACCGATAAAATACGTGCTACTGGTTTGGTGGAAGAGATAACAACTGTGCTGCTCTTTAGAATGACGCCTTGGCTCAAATTACTGGTAGCCTGTCTCCTATAAAAAACCTACCTTGATTCTTTTGCCTGTTTTTCACACAGTACACAAATTAACAGCACTCTATGAAAGCAGCAGGACAAAGTCTTGAGCAATTTGTGGACAACAGAGAAGACTACTTGTCTACAGGCATACACATTGTGTCAATAGGATTACAGGGATTACAGTGATTTCCTGAAAGCAGACAGATCCTGCTTCTATTTCAGTGTTATTGAGAGGTGGCACAATAATCAATAAAATGCCCGAATAAGCTTATAAACTACTGTATGCTGCCCTTTTCCCTCTTCTGAACTATGTAAAGCAGCCTAAATAGCCCCAAAGCAGAACCTTTTCTCCTGTGCCTGTTTAGTGCCAGAACCTGAGGCAGGCTCCTCTTTTAGTAAGAGACTCTCAGTCAAGTCACCAACCAAACAGACAAGATTACTGGAGGTAACTGCGGCAGGAGTCAATAGAGACAAGGCCAGACCTGGTTTTAGCTTAGCTTCACCTATACCATAGTGAGAGCAGGAGAGTCAGATAATGGAGGAGCTTCAGCCTTGAACTCAGAGAGAAGCCACCTCATTTTTTTATCCTCTGCAATCCTGCCCAGTGTGACCACGTGACTGTGGCGAAGATGGAAAGGAGGGTAGGAGCACTCCTGTTGACATTCCTCTGACTTCCAAGGTACTGTAGCCCCATCCAAACAGAAAAACAGATAGGTTACTCCAAGCATTCTACATTATCCTGGGGTCAGCTTGTAACACAGCCCAGAAAAGATCAAACAGGTAAATTCTTGGGCTAAAAGGAATATCCTACCAGGCTAATAACACTTACGCTAATAACACAGGTTGATATAACTAAATCTTAGATCTCAAACAGACAAAGGAGTGAGGAGGCCCTATTCAAGTAGTCAAAATCCTCAAATGCTTTGACACCTTTAACCCTTTTGATTTCTTCAGAAACAACAGCGAAACACAGACAGGAGAACACAAATGTAAGAGGAACTAAAGAATCTTAAGAAACACAGATATTAGGAAACTAAGAGAAAATGCATATTACAACGAGAACAGTGGGTGCTTTACACAACGGGCTGTAGAGTTTTGAACAAGCTACCTAGTCATGTTGCCTATGTCTATGCAGCAGCATGGTCATTTCTAATGTGATAAGGTCCCAGTGTCTCTGCATAGAATGCTACCAATTACTGGTGCATAAATCTTTTCAGACTTCAATTCAGTATCATGTTGAGCAGAATGAATGTTGTTACAGTTAACTATTATGAAATGCAATGTGTTTTTTGACATGGTGACATGTCACTAAGGGCATGCAGAAGAGAGATGGAGATCAGCTTTTACCCAAGTACAATTGTTAAGTTTTCACAGAGCAAGCAAGTATTTAAAAGTGTAAATGTAAAATGTGATTAACCAATTTTAGAATGTGTTCAGACACAGTGTGGGATATGGCACAGCGCAATGGGTAAGTCTCAGGACTCGCAACTGAGAGATGAGTTCAAGATCCTGGTGCAGGTGTTGGTGTTGTTCCCTTGAGTGAGGCAGTTTACCCCATGTGCTCCAGTCCACACTGCTGTATAAGTGGGGACCAACATTGCTGGAGGCAGTCCTTGCAATGGTGTCACAAGCAGGGGGATTCATGTTGTCTCAGTCTGCGTAAACAGGAGGAACTCTGGCCTGAAGAGCCACTATTTACTGGTGTGAATCTTGCTTTTGTCTTAATAAACAGTATCATCCCATGAACACAAAGTGGCTCTGATGACATACAGTATAGTGCTTCTTGGGGTTATTGCATTTCTAGACCTTTCAACTGCCTGATGTGTATTTGTTTATATATCACTTGTACATCTATATATAACTTTGTACCCTTGAGCATGGCAAATGTGTTTCTAATCTTTTTACAGATGATTCAGACAATTTACCTGTCTTTTTCACAAGTTCTTGAGTGGAAAAGTTACACTTTCTCTGCCTTTATGTCATATCGATTTGTCTTTATCAACGCACACTTAACCTCAGCTCAGTAGTCATACTGGGATTCTCATTTGCACACTTCTATTTGTTGCTTTGGCACTTGCTGGTAATTTTCCGTCATGTTAAATGAGCCACGATGTGACTGTCTCGTTATTTATGCTGATGGTGGCTTAATGAAGTGGTAAAAATGCTGTCCCTGTGTTTTAAGCAGGTCCATATCACCCTCTAACCTACTTTGTAACCTTCTTTGATACTTAAAACACCAAGGATGAAAAGCAAAGTCGTGAAGAATGCCAGATGGGATGAAATGTTTGAAGAACAGTTCTCAGTTTAAACACAATGTTTTCTATCAGGTTTATAAGATTTATTCCATAACAAAGCAGTTTCTGTAATACCAGAATACCTACAGTAGAGTCAATTCCACCCAATTCAACAAGCATAAAAGGCTGCACTGAGGTACAGCAGGACAGGAATCCATAGTCAGCTGCCATCGATAAATCAATAGTAATCCTGACTAGAGCCATCTCAGTACAGTGTACCAGTCTGGACCCAGAGTTAAATAGCTTAATCTGTGAGTTTATTTCAGAATGAGCTATTCAGTTATCTTTGCTAAAACACTTAAGTTAGAAACTGGATGATAATTTGAGAACTGGCTGGTGTCTAAAATCTGCTAAGGGCCAATAAGGAATAATTCCAGATCTTAATGATTTATTGACAACAGGACAGAGAATATGAAAATTTAGAGAAAGCAAGAGAGTGATAACAGGATCCAAGGAACCCGTAGCTGCTGAGGAAAGGCAATACGAAGCTCTGCAAGATGCACAAAGCTTGAAGGTACATACACCATTCTCAGAAGTGGGAAGTATAAGTCTGACTCATGTAATCAATCTTCCCTTCTTCAGATAACTTCCCAAAAACTGTGGCCTCGTGGCCATCAGTTCATTACTGTAGGGTTGCTGGTGTTGTTGGAAGTTAAGTTAATAAACAGCATCTCTCCGTATACATTCATGAAAACGCACAAATTTCATTTCATTGAGCAAAGCTGGGTGTTGTACCAAGGGGAGAGATGTGTAAATGATACTTCTCTAGCTTTTCCTGCAGCTACACACTTTAAAATTCTCCCAGGGGGAACTTAAAAATGTATTGGAGTCCTCAGGAATAGCGGACAGGAAGTCGCTGATAGCAGAACTTCAACAGCTTGAAAAGACAATCTGAATTAATAAGCCTGATGAATAAGCTGCAAACGTAACAATACACTTTGGTTTGTGAAGTGCCCGTTTCAAGGATGTACAGATCACTAACAGGCAGATCATGGCTGATAATACAATACGGTATGTGACCTTTGTCATGAGAGGGTACAATATATTCAAATTCCGAGTAAAGCGAGAAAGGAGAAAATTCTGACAACATTCTTTACAATGCTTTATTTTGAGAATCCAGCTTTGACAGAATTATATCTGTTCACTGAAATTGTCCATAAAATTGTATGTAAAAATTGGTTACTGCCTAAAAATCCACTTTTCCCTTTGGCAGTGCAGACACTAAAGTCACTGCCAGTGTAGAAAATCCTATTTATTTGCATGGGGAAAAAAAACTACTGAGACTGAGCAAGTGACAAATAACAGGCCATTCATGAGGCACACTGAAGGGAAGGAAATAGGCAGTTAAGTGAAGCATGTTTACATTAAAATCACTTATACCAATTTAATGCCATTTTTCTTTCTGTGGTTTTAAAACTGAGATTATCATGAATTTTATGCTTTCATTTTTTTAATTTTAAATGCATTAACATGGCACTTAATATCTCTAGTTCAGTATGTGATGAATAATAAAACTATTTTTAATCATGTAATCTAACCAAGGATAGAAAGAGTCCGAACAGAATTCAAAACTTTACCTTTTAATGACCAGCTGTCATAGATTTTATTTATAGGTAATTTTACAAATATTTTAATAATATAAAAATGTCTCTAACTACATATATTTCTTTGTACTGCTATCGTGGCTTTTTAATGGTGTACTTTATTATAAATTCTGGACTAGCGTGTTAAAACGTGTTGTGTTCTGCAACTTCCTAAATGACGAAGAAATGACACGGGACTGATTTTTTCTTTCTTCCCTGAAGACACTGTAAAGTTTAAAAAGTAAGTGGTTCAGGCTATGTTGTCATGAATGGAATTGTTCTAAGGATTATCCAGAATTCTATAGTGCACACAATACTGCTAAATGAGGTATGTGGTATTTCTGCTATGACACTATGTCATACCTTATTGCACTAGTGTGGGTTTTGCGGAGGTCTGACTTGGCTTTCAAAGGCGGTCTTCCAAACTCCATTGGCTTCCTCTTGCTCGGAAAGCCCGGGTGGGTATATGTGTTTGGAACAAGATGGGCTGGTATCTGAAACTCAGCTGAAAGAAAGACATTGATCAGGCTGCTTACAAAAAAACACAAACACAAATTATCCACGGTAGGATTACAGATTACCTTACAGAGGTAGGATTTCTACTTTGTGATGTTCCTTGGGCAAATAAAGGTGAGAACAGCAGCAAGACAAAACAACAAACTCAGAAAAATATTATTTAATATGTTAATAGCTACTCATTTCTGTATGAAGTCAGTGAAAATATTGGATTATTCAGTGATTTTACTTCCACACAATTTAACATAAAAAAATAATGGAAACCCCTGCACAAAAGATCTTGAACAGATATCAAATGTAAATCGAATATTATACCACTAGTAAAAACTGATCTGTTTTGAATGAAGCATCTACGTATTCACTACGATTTACATTGGAATGTAATTAGAGATGCAAATTTGCATTTAGCGTACATCTAGGGTGTGCTTTATAATATGTGTGTCATACTGTATATGCATTAATTGCTCTTTACAAGCAGGCCTCGTAATAGCTATTGGTCAAATAGAGACTGCCTGAGGTTAATCAAGGCTTTTATTTAAATATGTAGGAATGCCCCACATGGTATGAAACATGGCTCCATAGACCTTCATTTCAATCACAGTATTTCTGAAATAATATCAATCGTTCTAGAACACTCACAAGGCTTTGAATAGGTGGTTTGTTCGCCTATTAGTCTGTCCTCTTTGCTTTTCCTCTTGGCCTCTTTTGAAGCTTTCCACTTTATTAGAAACTGTCTGGACAACTCGTTAATCTCCTTCCCATCAAGGACCTCTGCAAAACAGGGTTCATCAAGAGCAAAATGTTTAAAGAAATCCCGGCTAAAATAAAAAGGCACTGCGTTTTTACTTTCTGAATCAGTTATGGATTATGTTAATCATAATACCTTTTCCTTTCAGAAATTAAGAACAAAGTCAACCACAGCTCAATAATGCAATATCTTGCTATTTATGAATGTTCAGTTTTTACTACACTTTGTTTTCCATGAGGCTTGAATCGCCCAGAAAGTTAAATCATGAGCTAACAGACTCACAATAGCAATACTTTGTTGCTTACAATATTTCACAGTACAAATATTAACTATGAGAAACATTGAAACATTCTCAGAAGTAAAAACTAAACCCTACCATAAAAAACCTTTAACTGATTAACTTTATGATTATCATATGATCATATAAGTATGATGTATCACATTTACATTTCACTTACATGTAAGTTTTGTTAATATGCTAAGTATAGCAAAATAGCAAACTGTAAGGACCAAGCATATACAGTAATTTACCAGTGGTGTGTGGGGTTTGATTAAATGAAACTTATGTCTTAAAATGGTGAGAGTGATCTGCTTTCTTTTTGTTTAGAGTGTAGAATGCATTGCAATATCAGAATGTTCCTTAAAAAGCTTGTCACAATCAAAAAGACTAAGTTTCATCATGTGTGCTATGGAATTTGAATTAAAAAAATAGTAAATTATCAAGATAAATGGAGTCCATCTTTGAACAGAATAATCAGAAAAAGTAATTAATGACAAACTTGCTTTTCATCTCAAGCAATTATGAATAGAATTTTAAAATAATATCAATTTAGTCACATTTTAAAGGTTTTAGATAAGATGCTAGCTATATGAATTTTTAAACACACACTAAAGAAGTGTTAAATTACAGCACATCCATCTTAAACTGTAAATACATCTCACCACATAAAAGGAGCAAAATAAAGCCATTGAAAGTGCTTATTGCCACAAAGAGTCCTTAGTCAACTTGTTGTGACTTCATATTTTACAGTTATGCTGATGTACAACTAAAACATGAAAATATTTATCTCCTTTTTTGTATCAAATGCTTCAGTTTTATATGCTGAGAGTCAATGATTAATACTGACATCCTGCCATTTTCTTACCAAGATTCTTGCACACAAGTATCAGTCTGTCCCTGAACTTGGTTTTATGGCATACTGGATTTCCACTCAAATCCATTCGCCACAGCTGGGGCCACTGGCTGAAAACCAGCTCTAACTCCTGGGATTGTACAAGAGAAACACCATAAATCGAATCAAGACAAAATACAGTATTATTCTGAAAACACTGCAAGAAATTAAACAGATGAAACTATGTGACAGTAATTAAAAAATGTATAGTAGTAACGTAGTAGCATCAGTAAGGCAACTTGATCATTTTACAAAGAAACAACTAAATTAGGTACAAAAACTTTTTAGGGTGCTGAAAGTAAATGAACTAATCTTCGAGGAGGACACCAGCTTGTTTTAATAAATTGTGTCTCCTCATATCACGTAACTCTCGAGTTACCTCGGCGCTGCTTCCAGAACACGCTGCCCACCGTGTATGTTTATCTAAAGGAACATTAATCCAGGGTGGAAATATGATTACTCTCTGGACACGCTCTGATTGTCCGTTGCCTTCCTGTCTCAGCTAAAGTGCTTCCACTTTTCAGGCGATCTGTAATCAGTTCTAAAGGGACCCCTCTCTGCGGCGCGCTCTCGGCTTTGATAAATGGATGTGTCAGGCCCGTCACTCAGAGGGGCTCGCTGCAAAATACTGAGCTGTAAATTATATTCCGCGTGCAAGTGCTGGGTGTACCAGCAGCGGCCCTGCGCTCGGTTAATGATGACCATTGATGAACCTGTATTTGACCAGCGCTTCGATCCTGATCCACTGCGTCTAGCTCAAAAGCACTAACTGGGTCTGCAGATACCAATTTGTCACCCGGCTGACTGCCTGTCATAATCTATTTAAGAAAATCTATAATTTTTTCCTCTGGTTCCTGACTAAATTGTGTGAAGAAAAGATTGATCTTTTGGAGGTAGTGACTTTGTACAATCAATAATGGGCAGAGGTTGTATACATTATAGAAGATATCTGATAAATGTTGGGCTTCTTTGATGCGTGTACAGCAATTATATGCAGTCTGCAATGTGACGGTTAAATGTTTGTATTATTTGTCAAAGTTATCTAACTCCATAAACTCAGAGCGCCACCTCACTGTTTACATAGAAATGCAGAGTGAAATTTTAAAACTCAGTTTGAACCTTTTGGTTTATACAACCTTCCACAGGACATCTGTAGTTTTTTGAATGATCTTTGCAATTAAGAATGTTCGAAGAGTTTACAGTAGGCCGACAGTCCCAGTACCTGTTACAAAAGAAACTAAATCTTGACTGCAAATTAATACCCCATAACTAGTCCTAAGTGTGTTGAAAATCGAATGTACCATTCTCTGGAAAAACAGACCGTTTATAAAAAAAAGACCATGCTTGTATAAGTTGTCAGCAAAGTCAGCCCCATGGGAAATTCTTGCTGATTTGTTGAATAATTGTGACCCTGTGCTCGCACACAAAGACAGAGAACTCTCTGCCCGACTCTCAGGATTTGGTTTTCTAAGTCCCCAATCACCATATCATTTCAAACATTACTGAAGAATGTATCTTTATTATGGAAACAAGCTCTGTTTACAGTGTATTACAGAACATCTGTACTTACATACAGCTCATGTTCATTTTAAAGAGTGAAAATACTCCAACAATTTTGTTTTTCTGTTGGTCCACTTCCACACAAGACAAAAGCTGAAACATTTGCATATTATTTGAGGAACATTGGCCCACACTTAGTTTTCCTTTTCAAAGGCTAAGAAATTATTAATGATAACTTAGGATCTTAGGTAAATGTCTATGGGATCCTTAAGTATTAATCACAATCTATTTCATTTATAATTTGTGTTGATCAGGATTTTATGAGATGCTGATTTTTCCTCCTTCATTTCGAAACTGTACATTGTTTTTGATTTGGGCTTTACAACTAAAATTAATCAGTAAATAAAATTAAAATATACTATTTAATAATGAATGTGGATATATTAGAGAAGCTTTTATATATAAAAGCCTGTAATAATTAATAATTCAAAGCAAGTTATTTGTTAATTGCCAAAGCTAGGAAATGCTCTTTTTACCTTTATATCTTTAAGCTGATTATCTGCAGCATCAAACTGAGTGAGGTTCTTCAGAACGGCCAGTTCTTTAATTTCATCAATGTGGTTGTTGCTGATGTTGAACACACACAGAGAATCCTACAGACAACGCAGACAGATCAAATGGTCAAATGGGAGAATGTTTTAAAAACAGAATCTAAGCTACGTAGATACATTCTCTTTTAGGTTGACAAGTTTTGGGGTTTCATAAGAAAAATTAGGAATAGTGTTAGCATAAAATATTGTAACAGTGTAACAAATGGAAAACCTTAAGAGCTTTGACTAATTTGTATTTATCATTCACAAGTATTTATGTTATTTACAATGTTATTTTCATGTTTTATAATTATTGTGCATTTGAAGTGGACAGCTAGTCCTGGCTTTGATTTCTTTGAATACAGTCCAACTCCAGTGCCTGTAATCCAGGAGGACTTTCAATCTCATACTGCACACTATGTGCACCCAAGGCATAGAGCTGTAACCACATTCACCATTCCTAAACAAACTCACACGGTACATCTTCTACTGCTAATGCTGCAGGATCTGTAAGGTACACAGTAAATTACAGCAGACTCACATCTATTAGTCAAATCTCTCTCTGTTTATAGTGTATGCTACCAGAATAATATTCAATTTTCTATTAATAACTAGAAGAAAAAATACAACATTTAAAAATACAAGATTTTTCATCTGACCTCATTTCTGTCAAGTTGCATTTTTTTTAATTTAAAGATATTTTTTTATTACTGTGTTTTGTACTTACACTGTTTGTGATCAGTTATACTATCTGAACAACACTTTTAATTGTACATGTCAGGGGATTTTAAATTCTCTCAACTTAAGTATATTTAGTAAAAAACAACCCTAAGGCTGTGATTGTGTAGTATTTATGTTACAAAAAAAATACAACACTAATCTCTATCTTTGTACTACTGACATAAACTTTTAAACTCAGCAGTAAACGTCTGTAATTTTATAATTCAAATGACAAATGCAAATGAAAGTCAGCAACTCACCATAATCATCTTGGATTTAACACTATCCAGGACAATCTGACACTTTTATAATAATATTTATCATTTAGGCAATGTCAATGTTTATTCAGTCAGGAGCATTGACATCATCGGTATCACACCTGATGTTACATATATTTATTTTTAAATTCAACAAAAAATTAATTAAATTTCATTTTTTTAATACAAGCCAGCATTCAAGCTAAATCCTTTCTTCTGATCTGATTTAGTGTCTACTTTGTAAAGTCCCAAAGTTCGAATGTAAATAGGTTCCAGTTTCAAATTAATGCAGATCAAGCCACTATTCTCAACTATAACAAAAAGGGATTAAACATTATACAACACTAAACATTATTATACAAAAATTATAAAACATTATACAGTTTTAATCCAAAAGGTTAATACAATTCCTTACTGGAGAATATCAGAGATTTTAGACATTAAGCATGAAATTATAATTACATCTTGGATGTACTCTACACAATAATAATCCTACATACAGACAAACTTAGAGAAATCACGTATTTAATTTTGGGAACAGTAAGTAATCACAAAATTGGTGCTTTTGATCTAATGTGAACTGTGTTGAAAGCATCCTTAACCTCACAGCCCACTCTGTCCTAAAGGAGTCAAACAGACCTGAGAGCAAGACAGACAAAGCAGCGGTCAGTCAATCTTACAGAGAGCGAGCGGAGTGTCCTGGGATCAAACAGGAGCTTCTCCCCACGGGGCAGCCTCTGGCTCTCAATGTGCAGCTCCGTCAGCTCTTTCAGGTTCTCGAGCCCTTCCACCACTGTGATGCAGTTCCCTCCCAGGTACCTGAGACGCAAAACACAGGCCTCTGTGCACTGCTCGGCTCGCTGCATTTTCCTCACAGGCAAACCTGGCATCAACCAGTCTCCAAACTCATTTACCCACATTCGCAGAAACTGCAGTTCAGCAAATGTGAAGGAGATGTACAGGGCCTCTGGCCTGGAAGGCATTCAAAATCCTTAAAGGCACTGACAAAGTCAGCCCAAAATCAAGAGCTAGAAATGAAGCCAAGGACTACAGGTGGAAACTTCAAGGAAAGTGCACTGACAGCCAATAACAGGAAGCACTTCTTTATGTAAAGGGTTGTGAGAGTATGGAACAAGATACCCAGCCATGTTGTTGGAGCTGACACTTTGGCTTCTTTTAAAGAAATGGCTGGATTAGATCCTCTGATCAAGTAGCTACTAACTACCAAATGGACAAGAGGGTCTTAACAGCCTCCTCCTGATTATAACCTTTTTCATCTTCTGATCGTCAACAATCATCAATCGGTTTGGACGGATGGGCTGTCTGTATACTCACAGTTTGGAGAGCTTCTGAAGGGCTGACAGGTTCTCAATGAGTGTGATGTTGTTGTTCTGCATGTACAGGTGAGTGAGGTTGGATGCAAAGCCAAGGTTACAGATCTGTGTTATTTGATTGTCATACAAATAAAGGACTGTTAGGTTCCTGCAGACGGAAAGGTCATCCTGCGAGAGACAAGAACACAAGTGTTACTCCGTATGACAAAATGTATACAATTCTGTTCCGGCTTCTTGGATTGCAGACTGTGTTTTGTGAGAGTATGGAACAAGATACAGTACCCAGCCATGTTGTCGAAGCTGATACTATGGATTCTTTAAAGAAACCGAGACCACATTGACCCCAGGTACAACCAGATACTCACAATATCTTCAATATTCCTGTTGGAAAAATTCAGGTGAGTGAGCTTCTTGAGGTACTGCTCCAGAGCCTCGTTTCTTTTGTTTTTCCCATGAGCACTAGTCCTGGCAATTAGGTCCACGCTGAGACGGACCATTATGGCTGGTCAAGGGGAGACGAGGACTGACGACGGGTTTTCAGTTTTGTTAAGCACTTCTCACTGAAGAATGCCAAAAGAAATCCTGCAAAAGAAAACAGGTGTATTAAGAGCTATACCATATGTTGTATCCATACATTGACATATAACATTAATTTCATTCCAAAGACTCTCTAAAGAATACAAACAAAAATACAAATGTACTGTACAGTGCGATTCATGTAGGTACTCAGGTACTATATAATTGTGCATAAATTGTTATAATGAACGTTCAATGGTAAGAATGTTAAGAGCAAATGAAAAAAGTGAAAATGATGAATGTCACATTCAATAGCTTTTGTTAAACACAAAGTTTGTTTAACACAGTTAAAGGCTACTGGGTGCAAAATCTTATTACTTGACTTAAAAAGAATACAAAGAGCAGAGAGAAAGGTGAAGCTGAGAGCTTTAAGCTTCACCCCAGTTTGTGTTCCAGGCATTATTATACTCCCACTGCAGGCCTAGAATAAAAGGGCCTTTATTTAAATACTCCGGAGATTTTTCTATTGGTCTGACCTAAAGACATCTGAGACTCCCACGTGCATGTTCAAGAAATTAGCCCTTTGCATATTTGAAAATCACAGGTTTGTCTCAAGCTTCTCCATGAGTCTGTTTCACTTAAAATTAAAATAGAAAAAGAGTCATCGAATGCTGGGATCCATAAAATACACTTTTGACTGAGAACTGCATGAAGCCCTGCATGGCCATTTATCTACATCTACAAGTAACAATCGCATATCAACAGTCTGGCTGACGAGGATGGCTTTTTCACACTTGATCTAGGGGCATCAGACTGAGAAGAGACTGACATGAAAGCTTCACACCGAGAAAAAGGCCCTCCTGTTTCATGGCCACACGGGCAACATCAGGCATCTCAGTAATAGCACACAGAACCTCAGAGATGGGAGTAAATTAATGCAGTTTCCTGTGTACCTTTGGTTTACATAATTGCATGGCAAGAAAAAGAAAATGAACACCTACCCCAGGAACACAAGACATTTGGAAAACCAATGATGGATGTGTTTTGATATTAAAATGCTAGCAAACCCCCCCGTATGCCTGACACTTAGCAGTTGAGGATTTTTACGCAGTGTGAATTCCTCCTGATTAATATTTAAACCTAATTATTAGTGAATTGGGGAATGAAACCAAGTATGGTTACTGAGACAGTTGAGCTTTCAGGTGAGCTTTTGCAGGGTATAATATTACGGAGCCTGCAAATGCAGGAAACTTGCATTCAGTAGCACTGAAAAGCCTGTTTCACTACTGCACAATTTAAAACTGTTTGAATTAAGCTTTCTAAAACAGAATTAAGAGCTTGAAAATGAAAGCAGTTTTATATAAAACTTATCTATTGTATACAATTTTCCATGCTTTGTCTCTGACAAAGGTTTCAAAATATAAGCTATTGAGCCTAACAAAAAATCCAGTGAGCTACTGAATATTTATCCTTTAAAATACCTCGAGAAAGAAACAGCAGTCTCCTTCATAATGAATCATTACTGATAATTGTTAATAATCAATTTTCAACAACGACCAATTAATCATTAACCAATTGATCACTAATTAATATGATTCAATTAATCATCATTTTTATTGAAATGTAAACCGACCAGGATTTAAAAAATTGATACTGAATAACTGTAATCTGTTTTTACATTGCATTCCATGCTAAAGTAGGCCAAACACTATTGATACTGCAGTTCATGTGAATTTAGAAAGATGGATTTGTCTGTTACTTTGCCATATTACTTTTTTGTCAATCGCTTATGGTAAAACTACAGTACTTGTCTCACTGCACTTTGTACTGTTTTCCAAGAATAATAAAAATAGTTTTGCAGCATCATAACATCTTTAGACAATGTTTTGAAATAGCAGATGTTATTTTTTCTGGATTATTGTATTTTCTGTAGGAAGATTTGGGATCTTTACTCTGGACTATTTAAAGCCAAAGTGAGCGAAACCCCCATGGATTTTCTTTCAGATCTTGAAAAGAGAAAAAATAAATTATCTGGATCTGCGTCTGCCAATTTTGTTATTATGATTTAAAAATAAAATCTTGACAGGTTTAGGCCTACATCATTTCACCAGGTAAAAAGTCAGTGAAGCACATTGTGTTTTGTGGAGCACCTGCTAGACACCTTAAACAACACATTTTTTATTTAAACGAAAAAAAAAACTAAACAGTTGATGGATTTTCAGGAAAAAAAATATTTTTGGTGCCATTTAATAAACCGCTTAAGACTGCTGTCTTTGGTACGTACACACACACACACAGAAAATGACAGAATTACATTCATTATATACAGAATTACATTCATTATACTACACACAAAATGTAACCAATACATTATGGCATTGAAGACGTTTCCAGTTCTTGTAAATTTACAAAAGTAAAGGCGCTATTTGATTCTTCAGTTTAAAACAAATCGCTTTTGCCAGAGACTTACACACGTATTTAAACACCTCAGTGACAACTGACACTGAAGACAGTACGAAAACAGTTCGGTTTCTGGTTTACCTTGATACATCTTGTAGCGTCAATGGCCTTTTAATAACAAACGCAAAAACTCTTCGGCTACATAAAGAACATACAAGCGAATCAGAGCTAAAAAATAAGCAATACTAATGAATGACAATGAAATACAATTCGTTTGATTAGATAAATAATACTATCTGTCCCGTAATCCATTTCACCAGTCCTCATCCAACACACAATAAATTCAACAGATGAAAGACAATTTCAAAGTCGAAAGTAATATTCGATTTACCTGCTGCGTTGTTATATAGCACCCACAACTACGCGTCACAAGTCAGAAACGGCTTTCCCCCTACCTTTTAAATGCACTCAGAATTAACCCTGGCTGTCCATATCGTTCCCCTCAAGATGAAACGAGAGCAAACGTCGCATTTTTTATCTGCAACAGGAGCTACAAGCGCTGCTGAGCTCTGCGCCTTGTTTGGAGAAGTTTCGGAGCTGGTTGCTATAGAGACGGAACGCTGGGAGACCGCGTGTGGGCAAAGCGGGGCTCAGTTAAAGAAATAAAACACCACCTTCAAATACCACAGTAACAGCGACATTGTTCGAGATTTTGAGTAATAGTGCATAAACATTTAATGTTGCAACTTTTTTTGGTTTGTTTTTCTCACTACTTTCTTACCAGTAATATTCCTGGGGGTATTTTGGAAAGATGGTTCATAAAATAGTAGTCAAATGTGCCGTGTTAACTGAAGGATTTACAGTATGTTTTGTTTTCCTGCTCAGCGAATTAAATAGGTTAGGTTAATGTTGAATATAAATGCATGTGGCAATAGGAAAAAAAAAAGTATTTGAGTGTAACATTTTCTTCGCCTTATTCCGAAAGAAGAGAAGTGTGCAACACTTAACCGTTTAACCCGCTCAGATTACGTGTTTTGTTGTCGTATAAAGTAACGGATTGTCAACCAGAAAATGGTTCATTTTTCAGTTTCATTAATTTTCATTACTAGTATAGTATATATACTAGTTCGCGTTTTCTAATATAAATTCGAGAAAAATAATTAAAACAGTCCCCTTAGCCATCTTATTAAAATTCTTTGTAAATGTAAATCGAGACCAATTTTATTCACCGTGCTTTCGTCTTAACCATGTTTTTTTACCCTTTTAGAACAACTAAACTGATAAAATACAATACTGATAAATTAATTTACAAATATATTCTGAAACATGTTACTTTCTATTTTTCAAATTTACATTACCGTGCCCCTTTTCAAAATATATTTTGCGCCTGCATTTTGTATAAAAACTCTTCCTCCGATTTTTATTTTTATTTAATACGTTTGTCTATTGTTCTCTGATTTATAAGAATAGAAATGGCAGGCTGTACATTAAAGTTTTAGTATATGTGGTGAAAGCAGTACAAAGCGAATCAGTAATATATTATATTCCAAATAATTTTACTTGCTGTGAGCGCAAAACGACATAAACCATGGTAGGCAAATTATTAATAAACGTATTAAGTTATGGAATACACCCTGTTAATATTTGTTTATAAACATTGTTTAGATTTCATTTGGAGTCATGTATCCTTGTTATGTAAATTTTTCACAAATAAAACAGAGCACCCAGGGGCTTTTTTTGAACACAGTTCAGCTGTAGTCTGTGTTGCTGGAGACTGTAAAAACAGAAAAAGGGTTGTAGATTTGTTTTCAGTCAACCTAATCTTGGTGTTATTAATGCTATTGTCACATTCCAGCAAGGAGGACATGCCTACTTGAGAGCAGAAAAAATACATGATGAATTGATACACAGCTTCAGCTCATTACTCAAAGGTGAGGCATTTCCACAACCGAGCACATTCTTGTCAATGTGGTATTAGACAAAACTAGAAAAATAAATATTTTCGAATATGACTAAAATGGGAAGAATGGGGGGGAGGGGGTTAAGGCTGTTTGTGATTATAAAGGATATCGTGCCCCGAAATTTACAGAAAAAAATAATTTCCTTTCTAGTACAGTAATGTCATCTCAACTAAACACTGGCCCTGAGGTAATTGGATCTTAAACAAATATTGCAATTCACAAAGGAAATGGTAGATGAATTACTTTGGAGTTAAGTTAAAAAAAAAGAATGAACTGTGCCCACTGCACACACTCCCTTCATGGGTTGTTGCTATACTCAGCAGACCATATAACGAAACATAGTAAGATCTATTTTTTTTACTAGTTCGCTAATTAATTTGAATATCCAGCAATACAACAGAGTAATTGTAGTTTGATAACGCTAACAAAGTCAAAAACTAGTTCCAACACAGAAAAGCATTTTTCACGAAATTATAACTCATAGTCTCATTGGATTTAAATTACTTACTGTAATTACTTACTTAATTACTTACTTATTATTTACTTACTGTAAATAATGGTGTGCTAATAAAGTTAATATAGTTAAAACAGTTAAGTATAGTTAATATAGTAATTACATGTTTAGATCTATTATTGCATAATGTTGTAGTCTATATTTACAGTAAATTGAGCTGTAATTGCCAGTGCTTCAGAGTGGTATTTTCAGCAATAAATTAGAGCTCAAGTAATTTCACAGTACTGTACATAATAAATCAAGAGGTGCTGTAAATCGTATTTGCAACAGTGTTTGAAACAGTAAATTTTAGGGTGGTGTGAATTCTCTGAAGGAAGGAAGAAAGAAAGAAATGAAGGAAAGTAAAATAATTTCAATCGGATTCACTACATTAAATCCTTTTATAGTTTGGAAAAACAACCAAATAGCCATATATATAAAGCATGAAATACAATGGTGCAATAATTTAAAACAGATAATACAAAGATTATGGTAAATGCAACTGCAGAAAAAACCCTAAAAATAGGCATCTAGTGTTTTAAGACAGCAGTGTTTATGGAGTTGTTGAATCTCTGATCTTGCTGATACCGATGTCTGATATAATTGTTTCCCACCACTGGTCATGTGACACTTTACCACATAAACACCCTGAGATCTTTTCATAGCAAAAAAAATGAAAGAGGTAGCACTGCAAAGCCAGTGAGTTGTTCCCTGGGTGTGAAACAAAGATTCTGGAATTGCTTGGAAAGAATGAATCCTTCCAGTCTACGAAGGATGTCACCAAACATTCTGCATTTTACGTAACAGGCTTAGTGCAGGAAATCACCAGGCTCCAGACAATAATTTCTCTCAGCTCATTTGCCTACCATTCATTTGACACAACCTTCATAGCAAAGTAAAACTGCAGGGATGTTTATATCCATCTAGAAAATAGAATGACTCTCACATAACACGACTTATGTTATGTGTCACTTTGCACACAAATACCTCAGTGTGTGGCATCCACTCATGAGGGGGGGGGCAATTCTCAAGGCGCTACAGCCCCCCCAACAACCCCATGGAGGCAAACAGAAGACAGAAAGGCTCCGTCCCCAAACACTTCACCAGGGAGCACTGACGCACTGACAAGACAGGGCAGGCACCTGGAAGGCGGTGTTTAATGTAGGCCAAGGCGTCTGCGTAGTCACACCATTTTCTGCTAGACAATCTGGAGACGCAACGCAAAAGGCAAACAAAATATTAATATATAGTTAAAACAACAGAGTTTAAATCAATGGTGTCATGATACGATTGTTCCGTACACTAGTAAGACTCAATTGAGAACATTGTATACACATTTGGTACTGCTAATCTGTAGAGAGAAGAGCAATGAGGTGCAGTGCTGATGTCAAAGATACAGTATATCCTACACTGACAGGGTAAAATACCTGAGCCTTTTTAGTCTGGAATGGAGAACACAATGAGGGTTCAAGTCTGATTCAAGTCCCATTGACAAAGTCAAACCAATAGACGCCTTCAAAGTTAACAGCGAGACACGAAGCAGAGGAAGCAACTGGGAACTGTGAGTTCAAGAGGCACTTTTTACACTGTTAGACCCTTCTCAGAAAACCACACGACTCTGGTAAACCAAGCTGGAGATGTCTTTACTGCAATAAAGAAAGGAGGATAGACACACAGCGAGTAGCTCACCTCTCATTTACTTTCTCAAACAGCAACAGGTTTTTATTTTTGGCGATGGGCAAAATTTCCATACAAAAACATACATTTTAATGATTGGTCAGCAATAGTTTGTTAGCGTGTATGGTACAAAATCAGACCGTTTAGACAGTTCAACTGTGGTCAGACTTGGCAATCGGTAATCAAGCTATTTTACGTAGCAAAATCAGACACAAGATACAAAACCACACCACTGTTCACGAGACCCTGGGTGTCTGGAGAACAGAAACAAATCTTGCAGAATTTGTCGATCTAATTTTGTAACAAAATCATAACTCTCATGAACTCTGACCGCCTTCAACACAAAGGGTAGTGGGAGTATGGAACAAGCTACCCAGCCGAGTCGTCACAGAGGACACCCTGGCTCCTGTCCAGAAATGGCTGGACTAAAACCCCGGATCGATTAGATACCCAAAGGAGCTACAGTAGGTGGTCAGTACAGCCTTCTCTTGTTTGCAGCCTGTCTTCTGATGCGGTCTTGTTTGTGATCGCTGACCACCCCGCAGCCTTTTCTTGAGCTGAACACGGTAGCCAGACCAGCGCGGGCGATGCAATCAAGCAACAGTTGTTAACAGCTCTGACTTGCGAGGAGCCAAACCTGACCCGGGGACAGAGCGTGTCTTTCCTAACTATATCGCAGCAGGCCAGGGGCCTATTGACCATGCGAGGCTGCGGTGACCCGTGCAGTCTAATATCATGTCAGGAGACTGGCTTCCTGTGACTGAGTGACTTGACTGAGTTTATGTATGCGGAATTTTTGGCAGGGGAGGAAATGTATTGCGGCTGCTTTTTTTTCCCCCCAAAGTTTCCCTTCGGGGCAGCAGACCCTTTTTCAAGCCAGTCACTAACGTGCTTGTTGAGATGACTTTTGAATCCAAAGTAAACACCAACGCTACCAAACATCTTTCGAGCCTGTTGCACAGTTGTTCCATGGGTCCGGTGATAAATAGCCATTCATCATTACAACTACTTATCACCCCTCTGTATTTGGGAAAATGCAATCCTTTCAGTGACTTTTTTTTTGTTGCTTATTACATAGTGGCCTTATTTATTTTTGCAATACATTTCGTTTGATTTTAGTTAATGAAGTGGAATTCCTCTGTAATTTAGGAAAGGCTTTTGTAATGGGAAACACACTAGCAGTCTGATTAGTAAACTATGCAGATTTTCACTAGATTAGGTACAAGGAATCATTTTGAAACTTTCTTTTCTCCGTCATCATCGTCACTAGCATTTATATTCTTTCAGCTATTGGGACTACAATTAACTATGAATGTACAGTTTGATCCAGATCTACAGATATGATCCCAGTAGAATATGAAAATGCCTTCAGACAGCAATGTTTTTTGTATGAATTTGTTTTAGAAACATTGATGTATTACACACGTAAACATTAAGAGATATTAACACTTAACAGTAGCGTGTGATGCCTATAGCACATACAATATTTCAGCTATTTCAGTGCTTGTTTCTTTCCAGATACGTTTTCCCCTTTTGTCTATCAGGAATCGATCCTCATCAGCGTTATGTTCAAGATATCACTTTCTTACAGACTGCAGGTTCTCAAAGTCCTTACAATGAGATTGAAGGTTTTAATGAAGACTCAAAAAAAGGATTTTAAGTATTTTAAAGTTTGCATCATTCCAAAAAAATACAATTTCCTTGTATTGACTTTGAAAAAGAAAACATCCGACAGCATCCCCCTAAAACCTTCGCCGACCCCTAAAATCTTCGCTTTCGTAACAGTGTTTCAGTCCTTGAAGCCCTAGAGTATATTAATTTGCTCTTTTCTGGACCGATTCCAAATGAGCAATATCTTCATTATAACGTGTTGACTGAAATCATACACAACATGCTAAATTAATGCATTATACAAGTTTAACATCCCTTGAATACATTCTGTGCTTTGGCTATATATCCTAACTTTCTCTTTGCTTCCCAACATTGTCTAGAAGCTGTAAATGAGGTGTCAGAATAAACACCTAAGCTCTTTTCAGAAGTAGCTTTTCTTTTGCTTTAGTAACATTTCGCTTGCATGTCATCATCTTACCCTGCTCATTTACCTTCACTATGTTCCAAAACACAGGAACACCTAAACAAACCAGACGTAAGGAAGTCATACAGTAGGTTTCAGTGCAGTACAAATTCCCAGTGCTGACGGATGTTTTACCACTTCACAGCAGAAAAATGAATCACTTGGTTTCTTTTCATGCCAGTTTCTGCTAGCCTGTCCTGTGAGTCTAGACTCCTCCTGGATTTGGGGAAGAAATGAGTCCATCAGGTACCCATCACCACACAGACATGAGAGAAGTCTCCACACATACAAGAACAGCACCACTCACCAGACCCGCCACAGGCCTTAAGTACACCTCTGGGCAAAACGCTTTCCTTTGTGCGTCTCTTGTTACTACTTACGGTATCCAGATTTACGACTGCGACATGTGTGTTTATGTTTCTTTAACAACTATTGTATATAATACCTGATTCTGAAGTACAAAAACCATGTTTTCGCATTTAGCAGCTTTAAAAATATTTAACAGTGAAAACTGTTCTAAAACAATGTAGGAAGTTAAACAAAACACTTCACAGACCAAAGCTGGCCACATCAGCATGAAATGACCCCTGAAAATAAAATGAAGTCTTGCAAGGGTCGTGTCAGGATACTTGCTGACTTTTGTTTCATTCTGGGGCTCCGAAGATTAAACATCATTTTTCTTTAAATTGTTTCGGCAAATATTACTAATGCACAATATGGTACCAATTCCACCCTAAGTAAAATACTTCAAAATCTGCAGAAATATGGAGTTTACTCAGGCTCCATTTCGATAAAGAGCAGACATAAAAATGAATGGATTCCAGTGTGTGAGGCTTCTGTCTCTGTACTGCATCATTGACACACTGGTGCTGAAGGAATTCGATTCCTGAAGGACTGTGTACCAAATAAAAGACAACTTGCCCAGATCCTTTGGTAGAGAGCAGTTATGTTACATGCCAACCTGTGTTTACTTTTAAGCGAGTGCTGTGACTGAGTTTATTATTCCATTATGTAATGCTATGACTGGCCAAAATTTAAATGACTGTTTGAGGGTTTTATTGTGATGAAATGGAACCATGGTCTTTGTTAAAAGAGTTGTTTTGTGAAGCTTTGAGTGTTGTGTATGGTCTGCATAACCACAACTAGTCTTATGTATAATAAAGTCATAGATATCATTTACATTTAACCCCAAGTAAAAAGAATGCTGTCATTTGGAAAAAAATGCAATGCACATTACTGTAATATGCAAGACAATTTAGTTTAAGAAAATAAAAAAAGGTTAAGAAATCTTGCTAATTATTTCAATAGGCTGAGAATTTTCACCCCATCTGACCACAGATTGAGATTAGGCATACTAGGCATTATCTTTAATGCTTTTAAAATCTTTTAACTATGCAACAATTAAGGACCAGACAAAGAAGGAACATTCAAAATTATAAAAGAATTTAAAATAAATCTTAGTAACAATATGTATAAATGTATAACCTTGGTTTGCACAGAAAATATTGTCCCACAGTGAATACAGGTCACTGTGTACATCTTCATTCTGTATTGATTTGATGCATTTATCATGATTTCATCCTAAAATCTTCTGAGCTAAATTGAAATGTAGGCTTTTATTTAACCATAAAACAATTTGATATTATATAAAACTAAATTTGTCCCTTAAAAAGTGTTTTGATAATAAGAAGGAAAGCAACTAGTATGTAATGTGTGATGATAATACAATTTCTAAGGTTGTAAAAAATAAACAAGTCTTCTTAACACTGCACAACATTAGTCAATACAAATGACTTGCAAATTCCATGCATTTAACCATCTAAAACAGTTATAAGTGTTTTATGTTGCCTGGAAGACTAATTTTTTCACATATCTTGCAACATTATGCTCAAAGGAATTAAAAAGTATTTTCTGTCTTTATTACTTGACAAACTTTTATTACACTGGAATCAGTTTTGGAACATCTTTGAATGTCATTGTCATGCTGTGACAATTACAGGACTCGGCACACATATCCCTGCAAATGAACCCAACTCCACTTATACAAACCTCTCAGAGATGCTCCTTGAACAGACTGACGCCCAACTCCGATCTGAAAATCACTTAAGTGGGTTCTAGTCATAGGCCAACTTCTGGTCTGGACAGAACACAGCTCAGCCACGTACTGCACTTCACCAACAAAGCCGTGCAACATTAGGAAAAAGGCCTGCATATTCATTAAAAACACTGGAAATGCCATTGCCCACACACTGTGCTTTATGTTTGTTTAGAATATGTAAATCAGCATATAACCCCCCAAAAAATCAAAAAACAAAATCTAGTGATGCAAACACACACTTCGCTATGGCACTTTTGTTTTGTGGGCATTCAGGTTATTTTGTGAAATCAAGAGATATTTCTAAATGATACTGTAAAAAAATAAACCAGGCCTAGGGTTGTAGCACTTATAGCAAAGTGCAAACTACTGTATATTGGTGCAATAGCTTACGCATATCCGTATTGGACAAGGGGTATTTATTATCTGAAGATCCAGAAAACATACAACCGACATCAAAAAAGCACAACTCAGTTATGGTGCTTAAAAATCCACACACGGTAGTATTCTCTGTCCATTTGCTTAGTTAGTGGATATGTTGATTTGATTGAAGAGCTTGTCTTTTATAACTTGAGACATCAACCCATGGATAGCTTCAATAGTAGTCTTGCAGCTAAAAAGAATGAAGAGAAATCAAACCTTTATCAAAGCTGAAATGCATTCTAAATACATAAATTAAGAAACTGAGTAACCAGTAAAGATACACACATCCCTAATCATTTTGTCAAAACTATTGCCTTTTTGGTGTAGAGGGCTCCAGACATAGCTAGAGACATTGTTTTACTAGAAACCTGCTGAAAAAATAAACAAAAACCAAACTCTTTACAATTATTCATGAGAAAAAAATGACAACATAATAACACTCTGTAAAAAATATAGAAAAACAATAGGGGTTTGCTTACAATGTAGTTGCCCTAGAATTATCTTAACTAATTAAGAACAGAACTAGCATGTTACAGTGCTAAAACATTTCAAATAACGATGAATCATGCAAACACAAAATATTTCTGCACTCTGCCACTGACATTTTTTAAAACATTTAAAATCCAAGGGTGATTTGATAAATATTACACCATAAATAACTGAAAACTGACCTGAAATCATGCCGTGAAATTACAGCAGGAATTCAAAGCTTCCCGAATAGTATAACATTTTTTAAAAAGCCACAGGAGAATGGTGTGAATTATGAGGGAAGCTTGGTGCCTTTTGCCTTACCTGTCTCTTGTTGCTTTGGCTAATTTATCTTCGGACTTCCTGTCATGTGTATCCAAACCAAGCATAAAGCTGCCTCTGCCTAACTGTGCCTCTGACTGCTCCAGTTTTTCAGACAAGTCGAACACCTGCCCTGTGGTGTAGTCAGAGTTCTGAGAGGCAAAAAAGAGGGTGGGAGATTAAGAAAGCATGCAGTTTGCTTTGGTGGGACGTGACAAACATGTTGCCTTTTCCTACTGTTGGACTCAAACTCCCACAAGAGCAGACCTGAAGATGCATCATAATAAACACAAAATGCAAAACACTGCCGGCATCTCATTAAAGGATATCATTACAGGAGAAATAAGATAAAGCAAGGCCACTTTAAAAAAATACTGTGGAAAAGTAATTATGGTAGGTTGATTAACTGAGATTTTTGAAGCCCTTTGATGTACATAAAATTCCTTCTGATTTTCTGATAATATTGTTAGTAGCAGTTAAATTTAGAGAGAAAAAGGCATGAAACTGCACAAAATATAATGAGTTCCAATATTTTGGCTTTATGTAGAGAATGAGACAGTAAAAAAACTGGAGTAAAACAGTAAAGAACAGCCATTTATTTTAATTAACACACATTAAATCAGCCCAAAACACAGTGATAAACCAGCAGTGTTTATTTAATACAAGCCTTTCAAAATTACATAGTATGGAGGTTGTACAAGTACAGAATGTGGTTCAGTGGCATTAATGTACAAAGTTATCTTTATTGGGAAACCACAAAATCTTTTGCTCAGAACTATCGAAAATCAATCTGGCAGTAAATTATTCAAAAATGAAGATGCCTTTAGTTCTCTACAGTTTGTCAAAGGTGGGGCTTGTCAAACCCACTGGGGAAAAAAAGATGGCTTATAAAAACAACGCAAAGCCACAAATGTCTTAAACCCCTGCAACACCATTACCGATTCGAGACTGTTCAGGTCACCGATCGACCGGCTTGTCCAAGAGACATGAGCCAATTTGTCTTCATCCAGACTCAATAACGACGCTGTTTGGTTTGTCTGCAGCCTTTAGAAATTGCTCAACAAAACAGAAGACTGAAAGGTGGAGACAACAACAGCAGCTAACCTTGGCTTTCAGTGTCTGGTACACAATGGCTATAATGCAAGTGATGCGTGGTGACTCTAAACGGCGTCTTTAGCGTTAGGTCTACAAACCAAGAGGCAGCTTTCTTTTGACAAAGATTTCTTGTTCAAAGTTTACCACACTGTGGGTTTTTAAGTAGTTCAGTCTAGCACTGCTTTGGTAACAGATTGGGCTGTTAAAATGGTTACAATTAAATGCACTATATATCAGAAGTAACTCAATTGTGTTTTGCTGTGAAATGCAGAGTTGCACGTGCTATGACGAACTAAAGGAAGAACACAAAGGTATAGACAGAAATGCTACTGTAAAAGTATCAACATTTTTCTCTCTACTTATAATTCTTGTCAATTATGTTTTCTGAACCTGTTTTCTATTTCACTATTGTTTGAGTCATTCTTTTTTTGTGGCAAAGCACTGTGCTTTGACCACTGGTAGTCTTACAGGGTAGACTGAATTTCTGTCTGAGTTTCAGATTCTGAGTTGGTTTCATGGCAGTATTTCTATAACCTTCAGCAGTCAACAGATGGTACTTTCAGCTTTAGGAAAGTTGTCTACAACATCAATTCCTAACAACTTTAGGAATTTAAACAATACAGAGAGAATTTAAAAAAATAATTTAAATGCCTCCAGTATTCATGCCTTGTGGCACTTGGCCATATAGCTATTTTGGCTGTTGTTGTTAGGAAGTTTGGCAATTTTTCATAGAATCTCATAACTTAGATAGAGGTGTGACTTGTGAGCCCAGTTCTTAAGATAAAGTAATTATTTAGAGCTACCAATAACAAACTGCTTCATACTGCAATGCCTTAGTGTTTAAGGATTTCCTTAGTCACTTTAATTGGGGTCAATGATTAATGGTTTTGTTTCAGACACAAAACACAACCATTAATTTCTAACATTTTACTGAAATTCAAAGTAAACGATACATGAAGTCCTTTGCAACGTACCACACACAGGCACAGACTTAAAACGGATACAGACATTTTATTTGCCAAGTGGCACAAAGTGCACCAGGAATATGCCTTGACACTAACAAAGTGTTTTAATGAAAAGTGTTTCATCACTTTCCATGCTGAAAGAAATCATTGGCTTGCTTTTGTGAGCATCCTTCAGTACAGCCCTTAGCCTCACTCCAGACACGTTTACACCCTGAGCTTGTATTGCGGAGATGTTTTACAAGCTGTGTAGTACCTGACAGCAGGATGAAGGTTCTTAAGCATAAATCTAAAGGAAACTTAATGCAAGAGTTCAATGTTTTTAATCAGCACAAGCACCTAGATTATATACAATTAATGGAGTAGCCTACTTTACCTTTCACAGTGCTTTATTCAAGACTTTGTGATTCTGTGTGTTTTCTTTTAACATGCTCTGCCTTTTATTTTTAATTAATCAGACAATTCACAATCCTTCATCACGGAACTACTGCTCACAGTGCGAGTGCTGAAAAGGGCAATTTTTTTTTTCCTCGAACAAAAAAAAAAATATTCTAAAAACATCACGAATAATCATGATGGGTCAAATTTTGAAAAAAAAAAGGTTTTTGGTTCTCTAGAAGTGCAAACTTATGAACATTTTTAAATTACCAGGAACTTTAAAATAATTTTAAATGGTACTGTTGGTACTTACTGTAAGGAGACTTGAAGAACTGAGAGTGTTCACCCAGTATTTATTCCAAAGGAGCTCCAGCAATTTACGATCAAGGGAAGACTTGAAATAAGTCACCTCCAAGGCATAATACCTAAAGGCAAAATTAAATGAGAGTGTCTTACTTGCCTTAGTGTCATGAATACTGCTCATCTTTCAAAATACACCAAACTTACACTACAGAGGGCCACTAAAGTTTATTATACACCATAATTTGAAATACTTGGAATTCTCAATTTTTTTATATACCTCCCCCCCCTGGAATTTACTGCTTTATCAGACTTCACTTTAAGGCTTCAACCCCTGTACTAGGGCATAGGGAGGGTAATGTCCTGCAGACGTGATCCTCCTGTCAGGTCTGTTTACCTGTCACCACAATGTAGGTCCTCAGTGCCGCATGGAGGAGTAGCACAGCGCTCACCAAGCTCAATGCAAGCTTGCGGGCACGTGGCAAGTTGGCAAGAGTCAGTGATTCGGCAAAAGCAGAGCTCTGGAAAGCGTTTCACTTTTTTTTCCGGTCTGTTCCAGTGGCTGACCGATATCCAGCCTTATCCCTGGCACACTCTGCCAATCGCGCTCCACAGCTTGGGGAATCCCAGTCACAGTTGGCCAGTGATTTGGTCCCGGCTTGAACCAATGACAACAGGGCCACAGGACTCAACCGCTGTTCTGAGTGACTGTCTTTACTGACAGACACCCTCTGAAGCTCTCCATACAGTATCATATGTTTTTGTTGGCAGGTTAGCTATCCTCTTAGATTATGATTAATTCTAGGACAAGGAGAATGTTACCCCAGTGACACATTGGGTTCATAGACGAATTACGATTAGAAGGCATTAGGGCAGGAACAGTTAAATACTAAACCTTCTAATCCCTTTCAATGTAGCTGGTTGTGCCAAAACATCCTGTAGTATACTGGAGGACGTGGCCTGAAATACAACCTCTGCAATAGGAAAACTCCAGATGAACTGACATGCTGAAAGGTCGTGCTTTTCCATAGCTGTAAATTGGGACACTTTTTAAAAAAAGGCAGCAAAAAGATTTGATAGATGACTTACTGCTTACAGTGGACTCCAAAGTCTTCAATTTTATTTAACGGGATAGTCTGATACTCTGAAGGACCTTCATCTGGGGGTTTGTAGCCCTGAAAAAAAATTCAGCAAAATCAGATCCTGATTAACCAACCATACATATGACATAAAGTAATAATTTGGCCTCTTTGTGAAATACCAGCACCTCATTTCTCACCTGCTATAATTAATTTAAAAAAGCCTCTTATTGGCATAAAGGAGTGCCATAGCTGACAGCTCTCATTTCAAGCCAGAGAAAGACCTATTCATTTTGGACAAAGGGAGAATGGCACAATCCCAAAATGTTTTTAGTTTTCACAATTTCAACAAAATGTTGCTTTTTCTAGCCTTTCGTGCACACTTAATATAACAACACTTATATTAAAATCTAAAGAGTTTTTGACAGCTTGTAAATGTATAATACAAGTATCTGCAGCTTTTCATTTCTCCCAGCCTATTAACTTAAGCCCTTTTCCCAGGTCTCACGCCATCCATTGCTTAAATAACTCTGGATCCAGCTCCCAAAGGCCGGAATTAAGGAATCCTGATCTCTGAGCTAACAGACTGACAACTCTGAATGATAACAACTCTCATGAAGGAGGGAGCCAGGCTATGTTGAGACTATGTTTTGTTCATTCTCACAAAATGGAAAGCGACTAGCAGGTAAAAGGCCAGCCTGCACAATACTCACAGTTAACTCTGTGGTCTATATGATGACTTCTTGATAAAACGATCAGACAATGATCGTTAATGTCTGAAACCACTCCGTCTCCCAGTTAGTCTCTCGGCAGGCTTCAAAGTTGCCCGTTGCAGTAAAGGCTAGATCTTTTCGCCCATCAAAACGTGACACCTTAAATTACTCTAATCAACCAAAAGCCAGTGGAGAAGGAACTATCTGAAATACCTGTAATCTTTCTCAGCATGTGTGGATAATGAAAGATCCTAATAAAAGCAGTGCTCCTTAGACACTGTCACACACACAGCTGTTCTCAGTTCAGTTTTAAGAGCTGTCTTGCACCCTTGAATCCTCTCAGAACTGAAGATTTCCAACACTACCATTTCAAGAAAAAAGGTGACTTTCAGCATGTGTCACTGACTCACAAACAGGGCATCATGCAGAACAATAACCTGAACACTAGTTTTTTGCTGAACAGCCAAACATAATTTTTCAGTTCCAAACCATGAAGGTTTAACATATTGCCAGTAGCAATACAGTGTGAGCAGAGCAGCGTTCAGACATGCAAGTTAAATAAGAAAACTCTCTGAATCACAATGTCTTTAACACGTAAAGAGGTTAAAAATTTTGTGTAAACTAACTGTCAACTCAATACTTGAAAGGAACTACTCAGTATTGCAGTTACTTAAATCACATTGCCTATAACCTCATAGTTCTCAATATGCCTGTCTTAAACTGTGCTATTCCCTGATGTGGGCAGCACTGAAAACTGAAACTTTCCATGAGCTACCGTCAAATGTGTTAAACAGACCACTGAAAACTACACAGATTATTTTTGTGAGCCAGTTTTTATTAGTTTTAAGTTTCCAAAAATAGAGAACAAAATACCATCCTAGAACAACTTTCCCCCAAAACTCCACTCCTGTCTATTAGTGGTACCCCTAACGCTACCATCCACAAGACCCCCAAAGTGCAATCTGGTAGCCACAATAAAAGCGCAACACAATAATCCTTTGACTGTGTCAGCAAACTCAAACCCTACAGCAGAGCCAGTCCCTGACCTTAATAATTAATTTCCATTTTAAATGTATTTTAACATAGGCTGTCCTGGACAAGGTTTGATGAGTCTCTTTTATAAAATAGAAACTTGTCCAAGTGACAAGAAATTGATCTTATTTGGGCTTATGTGTAATCTTATGTGTAAATTCTTGAAGATGCACTGTGAATACAACCAAGCTGTGAATGTTAGCTATTTAAATTTATATTTAAGTATAAAAAAAAATCAAACATTTTGTTAACATAAGATGTCAATCTAACAAAACCACTAAGCTAATCACCAGGGTAAGACTGTGGGATAAGAAAATCAATGGTCATCTTTGAAGCCAGCTTATACTTCAAAGGAATTTCTATCGATGTGAATGCAGCATTGCACTGATTAATTCAAGTACTGATTAATCACCATGCTTGTACACTATTACAAAAATACTGAAGTATCTTTCATACTTTACACTGCAGGTAAACTCAAAAGAAGCATTACTTTAAAAACTGATCAGGCACAGAGCAAACACTTTAGTAGTGTGACAAAACACTAACTGACTTTGTTACCTTAGGATATGTTCTGAAGGCTCCAAGATTGACTTTTCCTGCAGATATTGTTCTGGTTGGATCAATCTATGAAAGTAACAAAACCAAAAAAGAGTAATAATTCCTTGACAACTTGCACTTGCCAGCCATGCAAACTGAACACACACGCAAAACACACACTGACTTAATTGCATATTTGTATATATTAATATATATGATAAATCAGGATTTAATTGCATATTGATATATATAAACTTGTTGAACATGTGAATGACATATGAATAGGACTGTTTGCAAAAGGGGAGGAAGGCATTCTGCCCACCCTAGTCATTTGGCATGGTATTAAGTAGCTAAAGGATCCCAGTCTCTCCTCCAGTGATTTCTTGAAAAAAGCCAGGGAGTCAGCAACAAAAGATGGCTAGTTTGTTCCAGACTCCCACAACTCTTTGTGTAAACAATAGATAGTGAAAGTACTGACAACGTTAATGAGGCCTTCCCATTCTGCCACAGTCCACTGTGTGTTTTTCATGACTCCGCTTGCAGTGACGAATCCAGCAAGCGCACACGGGGAAAGAATGAGGGAATGATTTTCCTCTGTCCTGACCACTTTTCAGCCGTTTGTCATTCAACACAAAAACGGCCAACGTAGCTGAATACCGGGGCTGCAGTGCCAGCTGAAGGAGGGGCACAGCCCTTATCCTGAGAACCGCAGGTCTGCAGGAGTGCTAGAGGCCACAGTGGGCAGATATTCCCCACCTAGCCAATTGCGTGCCTCTGCCTGGGGAATCCTGGGGCACACCGGGATAGTGACACGACCCAGGCTCTGAGCCGTCATCACAGAGCTCTCCGTCTGGGCAAACATCTTTTCCAGCCGAGCCTCTCAGGAGGCTCATGCAATGGATATTTTTAACAAAAACTTCTTAGATGACCTACAAGCTGCAGCTATACACTGGTCTGGATCACATTTTAGCTCTACTTACTACGACAGCGACAAAAGGCTCCTGAAACTGCTGGTTAAGCATCTGAGTGCTGACATCGATCCCTGACAGCCAACAGCCATAGCCAGGGTGGCTGTGGTACCAGCCAATGGCATTTTCAAGGCGCCCAACCTGGAGAAAAAAAGAGAGATGAATGGAAAAAAAAAGGTTGTAGATAAGATCTTTCTTCTGTAAGGACTGGACATTCCAGAAGCCTTGATGTTTTAAACCAAGTTTCATCGTAACTTTAACTGAGCTGAGGTTACATTTCAGTCTTCATGGAGTAAAATAAGCAAAGACATTTCCTAGAATAGGTAGGATCTATTGCTTAATACAAACCCCCCCAAAAATGTCATACTTCAGAAAGTATGCGCTTTTTTCATAGATGAGTATGTCGTCGAAATCTTGTATCTCTAGAGCATGCTTAGATAAGACTGCACAATTATCTGTTAAAGGCCTTAAAAGAAACACCTTAAAAATATTATAAGGTGTTGATGTTTTACATGTCATTGTGAATGACTGTAGTTTCCCTTGGACTCATAAAGGTCAGCTGTCCACGACAACAACAACAAAAAAAAACAAATCAAAGTGTTCCCCCACCTGGACACACTGTGCATTGCATTTTTATGTCTTTTTAGTCCGCATCAACGAAAAAAAAACCCTGAAACTTATATTCTGAAAGAAGGCACAAACCACAATTATTGTACAGGACTGGATCACAATACACATAAGTGCTAAAATAAAGGAAACACCTATATAAACTGTCTTCACAGTATGTTGGGCCTCGTGGGCTGCCAGAACAGCTTCAATTAATTCAATACGCTTTGCTTTGAAGTGTCAAGTTTTATCTGAACATAAGAAACGTCTCAAATGAGATGAGCGTGTTCCATAGTACTGCAACCCTCCTGAACCTTACTATTCTTGGACAAGGGCTGATCCAAGTACTTAAAATCCTTTTACAGTGAGACACGAACCAGAGGACGAGGGCGGAAATTAAATCGATGTAAAGTTAAAAACAAAAACAGGAGGCACTTCCGTGTGCAGGGGGTTGTGGGAATATGGAACAGCTAAACCCTCAAATCAAAATCCAATCAAAGTTTATTTATCAAATGCACAACAACACAGCGTGCAGCAGTAGTTGCTGGCAATGAAATGTCTTTTCTACGAGCTCACAATAGAAATTGAATAAAATAAACTCAGACAATACTCAATATGAATAGAGCTGCTATGTGTCCATGGTGTATGCAATATATTATGTCCAAGTAGTGCAGTATGATGAATACAATGAAACCTGTGTGTCCATGTAGCCATTATGGGTGATTTGCTAAAGGAGCTGCAGGTTGGCTATTTAACAGTCTTATTGCCTGGAGGTAGAAGCTGTTCCGTAGTCTGTTGAATCCTGCATGTTATTGAAGCGTCTTTCATCAAACGATGAGATCCGTGGATCAATGAACTACCAAACCAGGCTGGATGGGCAGAACGGCCTCCTCTCTCAGGCGGGGAGGACCCTGGCGTGGAATGCCGGAGCACGGACCACCGCAGGACCTCGGCAAGCCGAGAGGGAGCCTGAGGTGCGAGATTTTCTTAAACCACGCCACCGGAAAAAAAAAAAACAAGCCAGAAACGCGGCCGAGCGCCCGTGTCTCCAACGTCGGAGAAGGCCGGAGCGCCCCGCTGACCTGCTTGGCGTTCTCGATGTACGCCGCCATGTACTCGTAGGCGGCAGCCTGGGCGTTCACCCGGGTCTCCGTGCCCTCCACAGGCAGGGCAAAGCTGTCCATGATCATCATGGTCTCCCCGTCCACCTTGCCCAGCATCAGGCCCATCACCTCCAGGTTGCCGCCGGACCTGGCGTGCATGACCATCTTCAGCAGGGCCAGGGCCGAGATCTTGCAGTACTTGAAGTAGTGGTGGCTGCAAAACACGCACGGCCAAACGGAGAGAACTGCGGTGAGCCACCTGTCCCCCCCGTCGGATTATTTCAGTGCTAATAATCAGACACTGCCCCTGGTCTCTGAGGCATCAATCTCTAGAAGTCAACACCAGATGAGGTGCTGCTTTTAGGCTGGGAGGGACAAAGACAATAATAATAATTTCTTACACTTATATAGCTCTTTTCTGGACACTCCACTCAAAGCGCTTTACAGTAATGGGGACTCCCCTCCACCACCACCAGTGTGCAGCCCCACCTGGATGATGCGACGGCAGCCATAGTGCACCAGTACTCTCCCCACACACCAGCTCTCAGTGGGGAGGAGAACAGAGAGATGAAGCCAATTCATAGATTATTCTTAGGTCATGATTGGTAAAGGCCAATGGGAAATTTGACCAGGACACCTACTCTTTTTGAGAAACGCCCTGGGATTTTTAATGACCACTGAGAGTCAAGACCTCGGTTTAACGTCACATCCGAAAGATGGCGCCCACTACAGTATAGTGTCCCCTCCAGTATACCGTGGCATCAGGACCCCACACAGATCGCTGGTCCCACTAACACCACTTCCAGCAGCAACCACAACTTCCCAGGTCGTCTCCTATCCAGGTACTGACCAGGCTCAACCCTGCTGAGCTTTACTGGGTAGCCAGCTGCAGGGTGATATGGCTGCCGAGCCAGTTCAATTCATTCAGCTCAATACGTATCACTGGGCACTGCCGGCAGTGCTCTGGTACTCGGCACTGGAGAAGCCCGACCTCTCTTCTGCGGACCGGGCTACAAAATCGATGGTGAGGATAATCAGAGCCTAACGAATGCAACCCATCGTATTATGTTCCAGGGAAATTGAAAAGGAAACATTATGAAACTTTTCTTTTTATTTTAAACTGTCAGCTTTTTTAAAAGCACGATCAAGAAATAATCAAGAGATCCTCATCCAGAAAACCTCAAGCGGAGAGACCTTTGACCAAACCATACTGCGTCATGAAATTTGCGAATTTCTGCAAGTGTACGAGTTTTGGCTAGCAAATCATTTAATAAACACGCATTAAATAATCTTTTGTCTCCTTTTTTTTTTTACTAAGAAAAAGCGGTAAGAAAATGAATCAAAAGAAAACAACAGTGAAAGCACTGAAACAGGCCACCTAACAGTTACGTTACAAAACGCATCGCGAACAGACGTTTGTATGCATTTTTTAAAAAGAAACTCACTCTTTTGTCCACGGTTTCGCAGCTAGGATCTCTTGCTGTTGTTTCTTGTCGTATTTATAAATTTCATCAATGCTCTGAACTTCCTGCATACTGTTGGAGAGCTCCCATGTCTTCTGCGCCATACCGCCCCCGGCCATCTTCCCAGCTGAAACGCTCTCTATCTCTGTGCGTTAGATCAATTAAACCTGCCTCGCCCTTCGGAAGAAGATAACCCCCCTACAAAACACCCTTGAGAACAACGGAAATGTAATTTTTCTTGCGATGTTGTTGCTAAACTTCGCTAACGATCGCCGGCGCTACCTAACAACACAGCCATGACACGGACAACTACCACCGAGCCCACCCTGGGGTGGTCTGAAAATGACAAGAACCCGAAAATGGATGCCGACAACCACAATCACTATGTGTAAAAAATACAAATACAAAACTAAGAATTTTCTCAGTCTTTAAGTTATCGAAAAATCTCTCTGTGCAACGCATTCTAAAGAATATTACAACAACAAAAAAAGAAACCCGTGACTTCAATGGTTCAGTCCAGACGGCTTCGGTGGGACGCGAGCGAGCCCTTGAGGTGATAGAGCCCCCTGCTGGCGGCTGTCTGCAGCTGCACATTTAGTTCCCAGAAAAGGAATAAATACGGATTTCCTCCCAGTCCAGAAACATGCTGTCAGGCTAACTGATGCGGTGTTTCTGTCTGTGTCTTCCCTGTGATGGACTGGCCCGAAGTATACTCTGTCTTGTGCCTGTAGCTTGCTGACACAGGATCTGGATCATCTGCGATCCTGAATTGGATGAAGCAGTTAACAAGTGGATGGAGGGATGTAATACATGAATATATTTTAAATTCATATTAGTTTCGTTCATTACTCCCTGGTGGCAGAGTCTAACATAACAATCCAACAAAAACGAACATCATCAACAAAGAACTGTGTTTCAGGAGATGAGTTTTTTTTTACATTGTTTGAGAGTGAGATTGCAAAGATGATAAGATAAAACAGACAAACTGGGCTAACGTTTCCAATACAATAATGTGTGTTAAAACAAGCCTGGTCAGAACCTGGATGGGAGACTCCTGGGAAAAACTAAGGTTGCTTCTGGAAGAGGTAATAATAATAATAATTATAATTAATAATTGCTTACACTTATATAGCGCTTTTCTGGACACTCCACTCAAAGCGCTTTACAGGTAATGGGGATCCCCTCCACCACCACCAATGTGCAGCCCCACCTCGATGATGCGACGGCACCCATAGTGCACCAGAACGCTCACCACACACCAGCTCTCAGTGGGGAGGAGAGCAGAGTAATGAAGCCAATTCATAGATGGGGATTATTAGGAGGCCATGATTGATAAGAGCCAATGGGAAATTTTGGCCAGGACGCCAAAGAGGTGTTAGTGGGGCCAACAGGAGACGCTCACCCTGCAGTCTATGTGGGTCCTAATGCCCCAGTATAGTGACGGGGACACTATACTGTAAAAATATGCCGTCCTTTGGATGAGATGTAAACAGAGGTCCTGATTCTTTGTGTTCATTCAAAATCTCAGCGTTTTTCACGAAAAGAGCAGGGGTGTTTCCCCAGTGTCCTGGCCAAATTTCCCATTGGCCTTTATCAATCATGGCCTCCTAACGATCCCCGCCTCTAAACTGGCTTCATTACTCTGCTCTCCTCCCCACTGAGAGCTGGTGTCTGGGGATTGTACCGGTGCACTGTGGCTGCCATCACATCATCCAGGTGGGGCTGCACACTGGTGGTGGTGGAAGGGAGTCCCCATTACCTGTAAAGTGCTTTGAGTGGAGTGTCCAGAAACGTGCTACAGAAGTGCAAGCAATTATTATTAATTCCATCCCAGAGGATTGAGAGGATCTACGTCATCCACAGCAAGCAAGCTAGAATGGACCAACGGCCTCCTCCCGGAGAGCAGAGTGAAATTTAAATGGTATGAGCCCCTGCTCTTTGGAACTGTTCGGTTCAGTTTATTTGTCATATCCACAAGTGCAATGAAATGCTTATTTGCACGTCTGCTCCGATACCAGGACATTAAGGAAACACCAACACAGAACAGCAGCAGCAGCAACAACAACATACAGTACAACTAACATACCGACGTACCCACGTAAATAACATACAACGTAAATAGAAGTCAGTGGCTCTGGACCTGCTTTAAACATACAGTGACGGAGAATTGCTTTAATAAAGCAGATGTCATTTTTTATTGATAAAGGCTGGAAGAATCCGTTTGAAAAACAAAAAAGAGATCTAGACTTGAAAGAAATCAGACGTGAATTTGATCCACAAATAACCCCAAACACAGGGTCACCAGGATCAAAGAACAGGGTCACCAGGATCCTTTATGGGACAGCAGTGTATAAGTGTCCCTCCAGTCCACTAGGGGGTGCTGTGTAATTCCCTGTGCTCTGGTGTTTGAGGTTCCCCCGCCCCTCGCTCTTCTTCCCTGCAGCAGCGGGCGGCAGTTCCCTGCTGCTGCTGACAAGTTGCCCTGCGGGCTTGTTGCTGCTGGGCGGCGGATCCGCTGTGTTATTCGTTGAAACCCGGCGGCCGTAAAACCACTCAGGACGTGGACACCTTCGTGTGTTGTTTTTTTTTTCTCCCAGGGGAGGATGCGCGCTGTTCCGCTGAGGATACGTTGAACTTGTCGTACGGTACGGGACCTTTTCAAAAACATGCAGTTTGTGTTCGAGACAGTAACGTTGAACTGTCGTGTTTAATACTTTGCTGAAGGGGGTTGTTGTGTCTGGAGCGCCCAACTTATCTCGAATGATCCTCCCCGGAACCGCATATATTTATTGCTAAAGTGAGAAGTGAGAAGTCTACGTTTTAAATGATAAGTTGCCTGACGGGGATGTTTGTCAACTATTTGTCGATAAGCTGCAGTTAATATTAGCGGTTGTGCTCGGCGCCGCGAAGTGGCCTAAGACGTTGTGTACAGTGGTTGCCTAACAACGGGTATTAAAGAGGCAGTGGCACTGACTTCTACGTTATTTTTTAAATTTTATTTAATTGGAAATAATCCGAAGACAGTGATGCCCCTGTAAGCTTTTTTTTTCTGAAGACTTAATTTACGTTAGTATTAAAAAAAATTGAGCGACTTAAAATGTAAACATTTACGCCGTTTCACAAAAGAGTACAGCAAGTATTCAGGCCAATTTCACACAAACTTAGAAACCGACAGGTGTGTACCGGTATATCCACATCCGTTCACGCTTGTTAGCAGAGCTGCATGATTTGTGTTTTTGTTCTTCAGGAGCTGTGCTGGGTCTTACTGCTTTGCTATGTGGTCTGTTTGAAGGAATGGTTTTATAAAGGTGACTTTGAGATTCCCAGTGTCGCATATAAGGTTTACGTGTTGTGCATAATGGTGAAGGTGGGCTATTTTCATTCCAAAAGAGTATTAAGTAACTGATGTCCCAAATGTATTAAGGCAGGTCAAGCATTTTTGTCAGAAAGGGGCAGTTAATGTAACTGGCACTTCTACTACCTAGAAAAACAGCCAGTTACGTTTTTTATTGCTTTCTTTGGAGGTTGTTTTCCCAAAAGTCGATTACATCTTGAAACAACAGGTTCTACCCCCAGCTGTCTGTACCGTATGTATAATGACCTTTATGTTCTGTATTTTGGGGGAGGGTTCATTTAGCCAAAACGTCTTCCGAGTTCAGGTCTTTTAACCTTGAGTGTAAAGACTGCTGAGCGCTTTGACAGTAAGTGTGAGTAGTGCTCTTCAGTGATTTCTTTCCCCCTCCATTTGTGTTTTTGACATTGCACATGATTCCTTATAGATACCTTCACAGATATCAGGAGGAGCAGGAGTACTTTTGGAAGTGGGGAATTATGTGAGGAAGTGCAAAAGGAATAAAGAACTAACCTGTGAACTTAACGATCCAGGCTGATTAAATTGGCTTCTGGCATTTTGACTTTGCTGGTAAAGCAGATTTGAATGCCTTTGAAGAAGACGCTTATCTGGGTTATAACTCTCCCAGTGTTCAGCTTACTTGGAAGTGAATACGTGGAAAAGCAGTACTTTTTTCTTTAAAAAAAAGGTAACTTAATAGAAATGTTCTTACAATACTGTGTTTTCTCCCATGTCTTTAAAAAGCCTGATTTCTAGATACATCTACATTGCATATTGAGTGACTCATCTGTTTTCTTTAATTAGATTAATACTTATAGTAGTCATAGAGCCAAAGTGTAATCAGAGAAAAGTGCTTTGTTCTGCAGTAAGTCCCATCTTCCAGAAGCAGAAGTTGAGAATCTTAGTAGTGTCTAAGATAATTTTGTCCAGTGCTGCTTTAACAAAGTGCATGTGTCTGTGTTGCTGCATGTTAAAATATGTAACAGTGCATTGTACGCATGAACACGAATGAGTGCCAAGCCCAGTACAGTGCAGTATACAGTACATCTAAAGGCCACGCTGGCATTTCATTGTTTACTTTGGTGGTCATGGTGAGCAGGTTAGTCATCAATTCGAATTCTAGGGTTGTAGAAGATCTACATATTTTGTTTGTGGAGAGCAAGGGCACAAAAGTTTACATGTTTCCTGAATACATTTAAAATATCCAAAGTAGAATATGTTGCTGCATTTTGTGTCAGGCACCCTGGCGTTCTAGGGTATCATTTCTTTACTCTTTGTATTACTGTATGTGGCATCAGTGATGTGTCTCCAACAGTGCATATCGAGCACCTTTTCATTTTAGCCAAGATGTGAATAAGGATCTTTGTTTAGTAATCACTAATTTTATTCCGGAAAGGCAAAACATCTTTTTGGGCTGTATTTCAATAATTCTTTATAAAATCTCACATCAATATTTCCAGTCAAGGGAAAGTAATGTTTTTGTTTAAAATAACTTTGCATTGAGAGAGAAGATGTCTTAATTGTGTTCTACATATTAAAGATAGGTGAACACTGCAAAAGATACTGTGCTGTACAGACAATGGCATGTGCATTCACAAGACAGCTGTTATGTGGCAAAAGAGAATATCTAATAAAATCAATAATTTATTTGACAAGGCAATACTCATTTGTACCAGGGCATTTTACTGAAACAATCGGATTGTGGTATTTTTTTTAAGGGCACAGCAGCAGTGCGTCACCCAAGATGTGAACCTGCGGCCTTCCAGTTACATGTCCAGAACCCCACCTGCTGCTTTACGCTCCTGCCCCTTGGAACATGCAGAGTACAGCTTAGTACCTTGACTAAGTGGATAGCTGTGTTGATATTTTGTATTTATTTTTTGTTTCTCATGTAGGAAAATGGATGATGAACTCGAAATGTTTCTTGAAGAGCAGAAGGCTAAGGTGGCTCGAGAAAAGGCCAGTCTGGAACACGATCCACCTTATATGGAAATAAAGGTGAGTGCCTTGGACACTTAAAAGGCCATCAGTTATCTTTTTAAATCTCACCTAGTGTAAGTGTTCGTTTTCAAGTAACAGCTGAAGCTGTGTAGTTGCGAAGCCTCAGAGATCCGATCTGTACAACCATTCAACTAGTGTGGCCCACCTTTCAGCTCCTGTTTGTTGCTTCTAAATTAGCCACAGCTTATAATAGTAATAATTGCTTATATTTATACAACGCTTTTCTGGACACTCCACTCAAAGCACTTTACAGATAATGGGGACTCCCCTCCACCAACACTAATGTGCAGCCCCCACCTGGATGATGCGACAGCAACTATAGTGCGCCAGAACGCTCCCCACACACCAGCTCTCAGTGGGGAGGAGAGCAGAGTAATGAAGCCAATTCATAGATGGGAATTATTAAGAGGCCATGATTGGTGAGGGCCAATAGGAAATCTGGCCAGGACACTGGGGTTACACCCCTAGTCTTTTCATTTTTAATGACCACAGAGAGTCAGGACCTCGGTTTTGTGTGTCATCTGAAGGACAGCGCCTTTCTACAGTATAGTGTCCCTGTCACTATACTGGGGCATTAGGACCCATACTGACTGCAGGGTGAGCACCCCCTGCTGGCCCCACTAACATCTCTTCCAGCAGCAACCTTTACTCACACCTGCTGAGCTTCAGTGGGATTCCTGTTGTGAGTTGCAGGTGGCTAGTGGCTGAATGCCCAGCTTTACACCCAGGGACCAGGTTAAACTGGTCTGGTCTCAATATGAAATAAATCAGTTGAGATCTGTTGAGAAGAGCATGGGTGTGATGAACACAAGGAGGCCATGCCCTTGAGTGCTGGAGGAGGAGGGGAGCACTCCCGTCATCATAATACTGAGGACTAGAATGCAGCTGTGATGATACTATGGGGTGTTTCCTAAAGTGATGACAATTTGGAAAAGAAGTAGGTGAAAAGGTGTCATTTATTACTCTATATATCTCGTTTAGATAGTCCCCT